CTGCCTTTACTTTTGATGTCCTCAATCATTTTCTAATTGATGCACTGGAGTGCAAGACTTCAGCATCCAGCTTCTTTGAAAAAATCCGTCGAATGACCAATAACTGTTTCCCAGATACTGTTCCTGTAAGTCTTATAAGTCTTCTTGGTGAAAGTTAAACTAACAGTACCAATTTGTTTTTCTAGAATCGATATCGAGAACTTATGAGAGTGTCTCGACTGTGGAGAGACTTGATGAGTCGAAAATGGTTTGGCTTTGCCCATAATGATGAGCAGAAACCGGACAAGGGTGATCTGGCTTGGTTTTGCCCTGCTTGTCCACAGCCTGGGATTAACCTACCTCCTGACTGGCAAGCCAGATATGAAAGGCAAGTCATTTATCCATCTCATTCTAAGGAGAGGCGACTCAATTTCTCTACCACACTTGAGAATATCATACTCACTGGCTAGCCCTACACTGCATAGTGTACGAGAGCTCCGGCCGGACTGACTTATGTTCTAATCAAGCTGGCCAGCATGGCATAGACTGGATGTAAAACCAGGCCGGCCGGCACATTAAATTGGCTTGCTAGCTTGACACAGATAGCATGCATAACCATGCTGGCCGGTTAAACTGAGGTGCATAGATGTCACTCAAAGACATGCCAGCCAGAGAGTTGGTCCGGAGAGAGACTTCTACTTTTCTTTTTTGCACATTTTTAACCTTATGCTTACCTGTTTGTACAGTTGGCTTGTTTCACAAAGATATGTGGTAGACGGGAACTTCACTGCTCAACATATGGTAATGAGAAAACCACAGTTGGACATTAGTTTGTCAGACGGGCTTGGGTATATGGTGAAAGATCAAGAATACCAGACTCATCTGTCATCGGCTGTAGAAAGTAAAGAGGTGAGTTGGCTCATGACAACCACTTTTCGTTCATGCTTCACTATCTTTGTAGCGGTCTTCTTGCAGCAATCATCGTGCAGTAAATGCAGCCAATATCAGCAGGAGCAATCTTCGAGCTACAGGTGTAGGAGCAACTGCTTGTGCTCGACATGGATGCTTTGTTCCTCATAGTATAGTTGATTTTCAGAAGGGCGAAAGGTCTGTGTATGTCCTCCAAATCAACATGTTATGCAAGCTCAGGTAATTTTTAGACACATGAATATCGACTACTCAATATGCAATGCATTGAATTATCATTCAGCTGGTATAGACTCTTCCCTCATCATTTATGATGTGGGGTGTCAGTGGAGCATTAATTTTCTACAGAGAGTAGCCCAGAGCAAGGGCTTGTCTGTACCTGAAAATATGCACATCGTTCCAGCAGTTGGAAAATTCCATCTTAGCGCTCACAAATTAGCTTGCTTTGCAAGGTACAGCCTCAACTTTATTCAAGGGGCTGGACATGTTGATGGGGAGATTTTGGAGACTCTGTGGGCACCATTCAATAAGATCTCCCCAACTGCTCGGTCAATGAGTCAGGCTCACCGTCAAGAAGTTCTTGATGATCATATGCGAGACTCAAACTGGAAAAAAATAGTGGGAATAAGTAAGCCCTCCAAATTTTGCATTTGAACAAGCTTGACAATTGAGCTTCCAGTGAAGACTCTCTTGAAAAAGTACAAACGGGCTCTCAAAGGTGTTGATGACACAAAGTCTCCCTTTGACGAGCTCACTCTGTCTCTGGACCCTGAGAAGATTTCGATATGGAAGATCGATGAGAAAAAGGCCATGGAACAACGTGGAGAGTATCTTGACATCTATCAGTTGCAGATGAACAAAGGTAAGTGAACTCTGTCTAGTTGTGAGGCTGCTATTCTTGTATAGACATCTGATCAGTATTTGTATCTAGCTCCAACTATGGCAGAGATTAGACTCAAATTAACTGAGTCTGAGAATACCGACACTAGCAAACCTGGGACAGTCTCTTGGCTCATTACTGGCATCAATCTGGAGGATTTACAGTATGTAACCAATAAAAATAGAGAAACCGTTTGACATAGTACTATTTTAGGGATGGACTAAGGGCAGATATTCGACAACTTCCTACTGATGCAACCCCAGGACAGAAAGTTTCTATAGAAGAGAAGCGACAGAGATTGACAGCTAGGATAGCTAAATTTCATGAAACAGCTGATGCCATGACTGCTGGTATGGATCTTGGAACTGCAACAGTGCATTCCGACGATCCTAGATTCTGCTATGCAGGTCATGATGAAAATGGTTGGGGAGAGGTCTCAGATGAAGAGATCTCAGAGTATATTGACGAAGAAATCTTGGCTGAAGAGATGGGTATCTGGATGCCATCATCAGTGCCCTACCAGGATGCATTGGCTCTCGGACTGGGTCCCCTCCAAGCTGAAGAATTAGAACTTCGAAAGGGCCAAGCCAATGACTGCCTCGAAAAGCTTCGAATGGCCCTTGGTCATAAGGCCATCATCTATCGTCAGTATTTTCGAAGTGCTAATTCTACATGGGCTGGGACTAGGTCAAAGCAAGAAGCTCAACGCTGTCAGCTCAAAATTGACAAGTGTGTAAGAAGCTATCAGAGGGCAAGGTCAGCAATGGAAGGTCTAGGCATGGACAAAGCCACCTTGGGGAGTCTTTATCAGCCAATATCGCCTACAGAGCTCAGTATAGACAAAGAGGTGACAGAAGAAAATAGATTTGGACAAGGGTCAGACAGGCTGGCTTGGTTTTGGAGGGGAAATAATGCAAGCCAAGGTCAAGACGATGCCTGGATAGATGAATGTAAGAAAAAATCTTTATCTCTATGATATGTCACTAAAGCTCCAACCGATCTAGTCTACAGGGTGAACTGGTTGAAGGCTAAGGCTAGATGGAATAGATGGCAAGAGGAATTAAGGCTGGTAAGACATGAAATGGGTTGGACCATAAACTGGTTCAAGTACCACCAGAATGAATGGGAGAGAAGGGGTGGCCAAGCCACCAGACCTGGTCATCAAGCCTATGCTTATCAGCAGGTCTTGATGTGGGGAAGATTTGTTGAGGAGGCAGAGAAAAATTTCAATGGATGTCAATTTATACTTTGATCTGGTATACTGTCTTTGCTAGGAAAAATATGACAGGATAATTCTCAATGCTAATGAATGACAAGGTAGCTTAGCTAGCACTAGCTCCACTCTATGTAGTCCACAGCTGGCCGAGATAATTGTATTTAAGATATGGACTGGCCAGATGGTTCCTACAGCATGTATGTACATGGCTGGCCCTTATAAGAGTATATAACTAGCTTATATCTACCCTATGCAGTCCATGTAATTCTGATACCAATAACTGGTTAGCCTTGATTCTACAATAGACAGAATCAAGTCGGCCGGTATGAAATGTTGAAACCAATAACCAGCCAGTCTTGATCATACATGTCGTAGGAACTATCTGACCAGTATACAAATCTGAAACCAATGACTGATCAGCCTTGATTCTACTATTGTACAATTAAACCGAGCAATATTAAAACTAATAACTGGCCAGTCTTGATTCTACATGTTGTAGAATTAAACCGGCCGGGATGCAATGTTGGAATTGAAAACCAGCCAGTCTTGATTCTACTGTTGTAAAATCAAACCGGCCGGAATGCAATGTTGTGATTGAAAACCGGCCAGTCTTGATTCTACTATTGTACAATTAAACCGGCCGGGATGCAATGTTGTGATTGAAAACCGGCCAGTCTTGATTCTACATGTTGTAGAATTAAACCGGCCGGGATGCAATGTTGTGATTGAAAACCGGCCAGTCTTGATTCTACTATTGTACAATTAAACCGGCCAGGATGCAATATTAAAACTGATGACTGGCCAGTCTTGATTCTACATGTTGTACAAGCTATCTGGCCAGTATGAAATTCTGTAACTAATGACTAGTATAGAAATTACAAAACAATAATTAGCTAGTCTTGATTCTACTATTGTACAATTAAACCGAGCAATATTAAAACTAATAACTGGCCAGTCTTGATTCTACATGTTGTAGAATTAAACCGGCCAGGATGCAATGTTGGAACTGATAACTGGCCAGCCTTGATTCTACTGGTGTAAAATTAAACCGGCCAGGATGCAATGTTGGAACTGATAACTGGCCAGCCTTGATTCTACTGGTGTAAAATTAAACCGGCCAGGATGCAATGTTGGAACTGATAACTGGCCAGCCTTGTTTCTACTGGTGTAAAATCAAACCGGCCAGGATGCAATGTTGGAACTGATAACTGGCCAGCCTTGTTTCTACTGGTGTAAAATCAAACTGGCCAGGATGCAATATTAAAACTGATAACTGGCCAGTATGACATTCTGTAACTAATGACTAGTACTCGTATAGAAATCCCAAACCAATAATTAGCCAGGCTTGATTCTTCTATAGGATTAAACCGGCCAGCTTTAATTCTACGGTTGTAGAATTAAACTGGCCAGGATGCAATGTTGGAACTGATAACTGGCCAGTCTTGATTCTACATGTTGTACAGGCTATCTGGCCAGTATGCAACTTAATAACAAGTGACTGGCTGACTTGATTTTACAACATGTAGAACCAAGACTGGCCAGTTATCAGTTTCAACATTGTGTCCTGGCCAGTTTGATTCTTGATTCTACAACAGTGGAGTCAAGGCTGGTCAGTCATTGGTTACAGAATTGCATACTGGCAAGCTTGATTCTACCTGCAGTGAAATCAGGCCAGCCAACTAGCTAGCTGAATTCTATATCTTGCAGGCATAAAGCTAGCCACTACCACTGATGGTAATCATTTATATATATATTAACACTAAACACTAATTCTACATACTCCGGCCAGCTGTATTATACATTTTGTAGGCATAAGGCTAGTTATTGTGTTTACAGTAATTCTAATATGTATATATCTACACCAGTCAACACTGATTCCACATACTCCGGCCAGCTGGAGTTTGCATACTCCGGCCAGTGACTGGCTGGCCATGATTCTACAGACTTTTGGCACATCCGGAGCCAGGGTTCTACATGGAAAGTGACTGAAGGGTCTGAATGGACTCCGTCAACGCATGGGTAGTTGAAAGCCAAAAGACCGAGCTGAAGAAGCTCAAAACCATTCCGAACACCATCCAAAGTATCTTCAAAGATGTAGGTCGATCCGCAGTTGATCTTGCGCTCCCTATCAGTGAGCGGGGCAAAGAGTTGGTGCACCAGAAGATTTACATTGATAGCCTCTGCATTGGCTTCGCTTACCTCGACGATCCAGACACTGTAAGTCCCATTCAAAGTTTCAGATATAACTGTTTCCAAAGTCTGACTTGGACTTCGTAGAATGCAGCGTTTGGAAACCCTGCCCTCTTCCGCATAATCAGCCGCGTATTGCACGAGAAGAGGTTGTCCCGCTGGATTGACCCAAACAAGCGGGATCTCAACAATATCATTGCATTCTCTGGCACAATCTTAGTTTGGGCACTGCAGGAGCATGCTAACGGCTTGAACGGCAAATCAGAATTTGTCGTCGAGGACAATAGGGCAACATTCGATTCAATCGTCCAACGTTTGGACAGCCTGTCGCCGTCGCAGAGGGCAGCTGTAGATAAGCTCGTTGATGATATTTTTGCCGAGATGCAGTAAAGTATTATTCTGAATTTCTGATCCATGAATCGTAGTGTTGTTCGTCGGGTGTTCGAGTAGACTAGGCTTTAATGTTTGTTTGCTAATCGTTTATACATTGTTGCGATATCTGATTGATACTATCGCGTGAACAATCTTATCGATGGCGTAAGTATGTGACTGCATCTAGTGACGTTCCGGCCCGGCTTGGGCTCAAAGCCCCGGCTTAGGCTTGGCCTGGGGGGGCTTAGGCTTGCCATATTTCAAGCCTAGGCCGTGAGCCCAAGCCAGCCCAAAGCCGTGGCTTGAGCCGTACTAGGCCGCGGCTTGGTGGTATGCAAAGTTGTAGATTCGTAGTATAGTAGCACAAGAAAATACATGAAGTAACTACTCAGAAACCTCGTCATCATCTGAAATCAAAGCATCCCAAGCATCCTCCTCGTCTGCAATAACATCTCCGGTCCTCTCCTCACTGTCAGCTTCCAATTCAGAGTCGTCAAATTCCTCCGACTCCACAAGAGAGGATGGTCCAGGCTCTTTGGTTTGGGATGGAAGGGCGGCCTTCTCCGAGTGTTGGAGGAGAGCAGCAGTGGGTTTGATCCTGCGTATGGGACGAGAATGCACGATAGGTTCATCTTCACTATCTGTGTGGACTGTGCTGGTCATTGCAGGCTGCTAGGTAGATACAACACATATACACGTACCACATATAAAAAATCGAACGTGGTTCAAAAACAGATTAAGTTTGCGAAGGCAGCGAAGTTGAAGCGCCAGGCAAGACTGTAAAGGCGCATGGATTGCTGAATGTTTGCTTTTCAAGACCGGGGTAAATATCAGCGAGCTTTAATAACATGACAACGGCGACTCACTGTGATCTCATTCTGACATACCTCATGGTATGATTGACTGAGAAGCTGATACCGATCGCAAGATGGCAACATAAACATAAACAGAAACTTACATACCGAAATAGATAGTGCACTGCTAAGCCACGGCTTGGGCCGGCGGCTTAGGCTTCGCAAAATTGAAGCCTGGGCCAAAGCCCTGGTCAGGCCGTGTCCTGGGCCTGGGCTGGGCCTGGCTCAATCAGGCCCGGCTTGGCCTGGCCCGGGGCTTGAAGCCGAGCCGGAACATCACTAACTGCATCTGCAGCGGACTTGCCATTTTAGAGTATTCCCTGAGCCTCTCGTCAGTGTACGATAGAGGTTACTGGCCTAGTCCAAACGGGGAGTGCAGTTTGGATCAAACTGGCGCGCTTAGCTTTGTAGATGTGTGTCACTTTTAGTTTTTTCTTTGTTATTGTTCTCCCAAAAAGTGTTCCCAAGAATGAATACACGGACTCAGTCACTCGCCCAAGTTTGAATTTGAGAGACTGACAGGTCGAGATGAACACCCATTGTCTCGCGATGCTCAAGACAATCGATTGTCACAAACTGGTCAATGCAACACAAGCATGAAGAGAATTTTGTAGCAGACGAAATCTACTGATATACCCAACTTTCTGCAGACCAATATTCCTCCTCTCGTCGGGCTCATTCCACATCACATCCTGCTTTTAGCATTCAGGGTCATTCTTCTTTGACAATTTCGGACACTTTGAATCCCCATCCGCTACTAGCCAACCGTCATCCTGATGACCATCCAACGTGTCAAACGAGAACGATGAGTCGCTCAGTATCCAGAAATCACGTACCTTATACTCACAGGTCACCGAGTCACCTTTCTTATCCATATAACTGCCAGACCATCAATCACTTTTCTCGATGAAGATGTGAGTGTGGCTTACCCGCACTCTGTGTACCCGTTTTCGGACTTCTCATAGTTGCTGACTAGCTCGTAGGTCGTTGCACCATCTACTCCGTGCAACGTTTCTTCACACATTGCGCATCCTGCGTTGACGCCAGCGAGGAAGGTGAGTAGGGCAAAAATAGTGAGGCGGGAAGTGAACATCGTGGAGCTTGTTGCAGTGAGCAATGCAAAGCCATAGCGTGCAGGTGTTTTATAGGCAGATACTCGCGATTTTGCGAGATTTCGCTTCTCCTCGGGCTATTAGCTGTTGCTTCGCTTCTAGCCTTCTACTAAGACATCCGATTCTAAAGAAGAGTCAAAACCTGTTTTGAACAAGCCACCTTTCAAAGATGCACTGCTACTGTGTAGCTCACTGAGATGGTTTGGTAAACGCTCGCCGGGATGGTTTAGTAAACGCTCGTCTTAATTTACATCTCACCTACGGCAGTTGTACTATACTGTTAGGAGGAGACACATCGGCAAAACTTTCGCTTGTCCGAAAGAGGTTTGATGCTCATGCGAGCTTACGGCGTTGGTGATCTCAGAGCAACGCGATTGGTGGAACAGACTTATTCGTCGAAGTAGAAACTATGACATATATTACTTGAGCGGAAGCAAAATTATCTCGAGAAGAGACGTCATAAATTCAAGATGAGAGGCGAGCGACACGAGAAACGAAGCTAGTAGAAAACAACATATATCTTAGTCTCAGGTAAGAACACACCTAGTAGAAAACAATTTATCTACTGCTTGTTAACAAATAAGAATGACAAAATGATAACGAGGGTTCACATCTCGGTACTCAGTCTCGGGGAAGAACTGAGATGTTCGTGCGGTTCTATTCGTAGCATGCTTGATCGTGATGATATTAATGTTGATGGGAGTATGTGTCAGATATTTTCTTTGTGGAGGGTTGTAAGTAGTAATTCATCGCGAGCTGAGGTTGAACGTTGAGAGCCCGTCTCGACGATACGTCTCGGCCAGACGCACAAATCAAGACAAGAATGCCAATGGCATGACCCCCTGTATATCACAGAATGGCTAAACAACAGTGAGAAAAAGAATGGTGGTCGACATGAGGTTCTCAGGTCGGGCTTAGCGTTCAAGTTACAAAGAAAATAAGGCCATTCTCGGTCCCGCTGCTGCGGCCTTTGGTTATGGTTGCCTTGAGTCAAACGCAGAATATGTTCTGGACGAATTATGGCCAACGCAGTGGTTCTGTTGCTTGCATTCTGATGCACGTTGAATCAGGGGAGCTCCCTTGGAGATTCTGGATCTGTTTAGCATCAATAACCCTTCCCGATGACAGTCACTCTAAACTATTCAAATACTACAATATCATACTACAACCGAAAAAAGGGTATCATATATCAGGCAGACTCCAACATATAGCTGCCAGTATTACTCTCTCGTTAGTCCCCGCGCACTAAGCACTTCACATAACGATGACGCATGCTGACACAAGTTGCCCCCATCCATATAATAGCCGCCGTTCTGATGAAGGCCAGTGAGCCAAAGAAAATGATGAGCTGTGCAACCTCCAGAAATCACGTACCACATAGTATTCGCAGGTGGCCACATCACCCGCGTCATCCTCGTAGCTGCCAGCCCAGATCAGTCACTTTGCTCGATGAAGATGAGAATGTGACGTACGTGCAAATGTACCCCTTGGCGGACTGCAGGGTGCTGTTGACTAACCGGTAGTTTGTCGTACCGACTTCCAAGGTGCGATTGCATGTTGCACATCCTGCGTTGGCACCAGCGAGGAAGGTGAGCAGCGTAAGGATAGCGAAGCGGGAAGTGAACATTAAGGAACTTGTTGCAGTGAATTGGATGTAAAGCCATAACATACAAGTATTTTATAGGCTGAAATTACTGGGGCCGTCGCAATTTCGCCTTAACGCACACGTAACCTTGAGGCAGCAAGCCTAGGGTTCGGTACTTGAGCGAAGAGAATCAATACTCTTCACAGACCACGGGCAGAACTGTGAACGTCATTCTCACTAAATTATTGAGGTTGCAAGAGTGGCACTGAGGGCTAGATGCACCTACTATTATCTAACAAAACTTCTGCTGTGAAAGGATTGACTAAGGGATTGTCACACAGTGTACAGGCTAGTCTCACCATTGAATAACACGAAGACACTCGTTCCTTCCATGAAGCTTTGCAGCTAACGATATCGATTACATAAACTCATCTCATCGATGGACAGAAGCAGTGGAAAAGTTAACGTTGGCCGCGAGATGCATTTCCGAAGCTCAGAAGGCCTTCGGAATCGAGAACCATCGAATTAAATGTGAGTCAGCTACAGCTAAGCTCGGCATTCAGGTAGACGGGAGTCACGGGACGAAGCGTGCACGCGCGTCGCGTGAGCATCTGTCGGGAATGATGCCAACAACCGTCGGCACGTGCAGTGGACTCCACCGTGACACGGTGACAGCCATCCGTGATGATCAACGCGGCACATTGAGTCAATTCAGGACTCGAATCGTTGACACAGATAACAGCACCGGAGCATTAACAAACAAAAGTCAAGGATTTCGCAGCAAGTGGAAGACAAGATTGAAGTCCATTGAACAACAACCAAAACCCAATTGAAGAAGTCATCTAAATTCCCACAACTCAATTTGTCTCTTAGTTGACCGCGTGACTCTCCGTCTGCGAAATATCGCTTCGTGTCATTCAAACGCGTCTATGTCATTATTTTGCAGACCTTCCTCGAAGTTAGCTCAACGAGTGATTCTCTCAGTCTGCGAAATATCTAGCTTGACGCGTCTTTTGCAGACTTAGCCATAACAAACGAAGACAGCCGTGACGGTAACGTATCACTATCAAGTTGACATGGCAAGCAAGAACCGGGCTCCCTTTTCCTCTTATGAGCATTTGACGTACCCGCCAGGACCTGTACCACCGTCGACGACAGCACAGCACGTCGAACAGCTGCATTGGCCCATGACCATGACAGTGTTGGTTGTCGAGCATAAAAACAAATACGGCAAGCCCCCATTATAACCCGCGAGTGTTCCGCACTCATACATTCCTGCAAGCACATATAAGCATGCGGTCTCCGTCTGACATCAAAATATGCTGAAGGTATTCACCAGGCTGGGTGCATGGCCCTCCGTTGGGGTCTTGTGCTGTAACGATCCCCGCCAGTACTGCGGCAAACATAATCGTAGTGGTGTGTGAGATGAACTTCATTGTTGTACTTCAGGATAGGCTTGAACGATGCCTTTTTATTGAACTGAAATTTATCGCTTCCCATTTATACACAGGCGGTAAAGGGCGGTCAGCCCCAAAACATGCATCTGCTGTGCGTCCGACGGAGCAACACAATGTGCCGTGGCAATGCGATATTTCTAGACGTGGCTCCACGAGCAATGACTAATGTAAAGCTCGTGTCAAAATTTCATAGACGATAATCCGCTTTCCCCATCTTCATAGTTCAGTTTCCTCAGAGCCTTTTTGTGTCATCACTATTGTGCTGGCAGTGGTAAATGTCGAAGGTAGATATGCGGAGAAGCCAAAGCAATGGATGAAGATCATCATGGCGGTGACGTCTAGTGAGATTTTCATGTTGGTCATAGTTGCAGGACTGATGCATATATCGCAGCTGGACGTGGAGTCATACACTTATTTGAATACGTTCTTGAGCCTCGACGACATCTTTCAAACTCCCAACCGGCTATTCCCCCAGCGCCAGCCAGCACCATTAATTACGGAGACAGCTGTGCTGTATCATTATGATATTATAGATATGGCAAGCAAGAAACGAGCTCACCCTTTCCTTTATGTGCAGATGCAGAACCCGCCGGGACCTACACCTCCGTGAATGACGGTACAACAATCATCACAGTTGCAAGTCCAAACGACCAGGACGGTGCCGTCTGCTTGACAGGTATACAAATACGGAAGGTTACCATTATAATTTGCGAGTATTGCGCACCCATAAGTATGCGGTCTGAGATCAGAACACGGGTATTCTGAAGATATTCACCAGGCGGGCTGCATGGTAGACCGGTAGGGTCGGATGCTGCAATAATCCTCGCCAGCACTGCGGCAGACATAATAATAGTGGCGAGTGAGATGGACTTTATAGCGGCACTTGAGGATAGGTCTCTTCGTTATTGAACTGAAAGTTATTACTTTGATTTTTTACACAGTAGTAGGGGGCATTAAGCCCCAAAACATGCATCTGTTGTGTGCGTCGGACTAAATAACCTAACGCGCGCCGTGGCAATGCGATATCTCTTGACGTGGCTCCTTGATATCTTTCTAGTGTCAAGCTCGCGTGGAAATTTCATAGAGACGATCTGCTTTTCCGACGATCTCCAAATAAGTAAGTTCTGCTGCAGTTTCTCCTTGCCGTTCAAGTCACTGGCTAGCCGGCCATATTTGGCCCAGAGTATGCATACATGCTGCAAATCTTCACAGGAATACGGAAGTACTTTTTATGCAGGACGGTTTTACCGGTGGGGTTCTACCGAAATTTCTGCTGTCTGACAGCAACAACAATTCTGCCAAATAGATCAGAATCGTGCCTATAAGTATATGCAAGATATAAAAGCTGGTCGACATCCTACAGCGTTCCCCATCCTCGAAGATATATATCATTCGAGATCCCCCTCAGAAGATTCCATATTACCTCGTACAGAAAATGCGTTCCTCCCTCCTCGCCGTTGTTGTTGCTTTGACAGCATCTAAGTTTATCAGCGCATGTTCTATCCAGGGTCAACCTTGCAAAACGTATAACGATTGCTGCGGTGGCACGAATTGTGCCAATACTTCCGTGAGTATGAGCAGATCGCTGTGCAATCAGGATTCAACCACAGGACTCACCTGCGCGCCTTAGGGTACAGGTCTCACTTGCCAATAATGGTCGGTCGAAAATTGAGCTGGCAGTTTCTGCTTTCGCTTTGGTATCATGGTTGATGGTGCAATACCTAGTTCGGAGTCAATCAGTACAATTGTTTTTGGACAAACTTTTGTGCTACTCGAGCAGTGATGTGGATATTTGAATTTATTTGAAGATAAGTGACGGTGCCTAGTTTTGCTCGTGGTCCACCAAGCTCGAGTTCGAGTAGCATGGGGAGCTCGGGAGTGATTATCTTCATCGAGCGAGTGTTGGATGAGGTACAAGGGCGGGCGACGCATCAATGAACCTGTGAACAGATGAGATTGGTATTTAAAGTAATATATTGTTGAGCATCGCAATAATCATCAATGAACGTAAGATTGCCCACCACCTTCACATGCACATGCCGTGAATGTTATGCATTGTCGAGGAAACACCGATTCAAGTTGCAAGCACGCGGACCAGCACTGAAGAATTTTCTAGCGTAACAGATGCACGGAATGCATCAGAAAACTTCAACAAACGAATACTCTCCTTCTCATCATCATCCGCTTGAAATTGACGGTAGTATAGTAGCACGTTTATCGCAGTCGAATCGAGGTCCTTTCGTCATTGCAATACTTGCGACAGACACCAAAAGTCTGACAGCGAGGGTTAAAAGCATGTATTATGACTTAGTATGACGTGTGTAGCAATAGTGCGACAAGGACCACATGCGCTAGTGGCGAGTATACAGCGTTGGCCACGATGTGTGCGAGTGAGCCGCCAGCAACGGCCATACTAGTATGGACCAGGCACTGCTTGCAATTTTCGTTTGCTAAACGTGAAGTTAATACGTGAAACGAGCAAGCTGTCTTCGAAAAATACCTTACATTTACCTCTGCAAAAAAAAAAAATAGAATACAAGAAAGACGACTTTTTTTGCAGCCTGAATTTACGAAACGCTTCGATTACCATAGATGAGACGAGGTACAAAGTACTTAACTATAGCTTTGTGCATACTTATTGCTAAGAAATTTTTTCTTTGTTGTTGTTAACGTTCATTCTTCACAAATAATCTCGGGTCCAAGAAAGAATGGACTCGAGAAACTCGCCCGAATTTTCAAGGTTCGGATTCGAGGCACTAACAGAGAAAGTCTGAATGAAATAAGGGCTTAAAGAGATCGACTATTAGAAGCGGCTGATTTATGTAAGATAATTCCTGTAACGGATGGAGTCTAAGCTCTAATGATGTGCCCAGCTGTCTGCAGAAAAAAATGCGAATCCTGTCGGGCCGTTTCCACTTTACATCCTGCTTAGCATCCATGCGTATGCACCCTTGCTACATACGGACACAATTCATCCCCATCTTGGTATATGCCGGCGTCCTGATGTTCGCAAGCGTGTGTTAAACAAAAATGATGAGCTGCACAGCATCTAGCAAGCACATACCGAATACTCGCAGGTCACCTTAGTGCCCAACTTAGAATTAGTGTAACTGCCAGCTCATCAGTCACTTTGGTTGACGAAGATGTGAGGGTGCGACGTACGTGCAAAGTGTGTACCCGTTGGTCTCAGCGGTGCTGTTGGCTAGCGTGTAAACCGCCACACCATCGACTTCCAAAGTATTATCGCATGCTGAACATGACGCGTTGGCACCAGCGAGGAAGGCGAACAGCGCAATGATGGCGTTGAAACGGGAAGTGAACATTATGGAACTTGTTGCAGTGAGGGAGGTCAAGCCATAGTATGCAGGTATTTTATAGGCTGAAATTACAGGGGCCGTCACAATTTACGAGACTTCCGCTTCGCCTTAGCTTCAGACGCGCACGTAACCTCAAGGCAGAAGGCCTAAGGTTAAAGTTCGGTACTTGAGCGAAAAGAATCAGAACCCCCAAAAATAAAGAAGTGTGGAATCACTCTCACAAAATCGAGGTCGCAAGAGTAAGACCGAGGGCTACTAGATGCAGCTCCATGTCATAGGCCATGTAGCACAAAAAAAGGTTGAACAGTGCGGGAAGGGGATTGTCTACACCTCGTAGTCGGTTTTCCCGCCGTGTACTATGCAGAGTACTCTTGAATAAAAGAAAGAGTCGTTCCTTCCATGAACGTTGCATGAACTTGAGCGCTTGAGCCTTGTAGGGTATGTCAGTCAATTAAACTCGTTTCATCGATGACAGTATTAATGTAAGTTATCGAAACGTTAACGTTGCATATCAGTCAGGCGCAACATTAATACTTACGTAAAATGTGGGCGAAGGGTGAAAACATACCATAATACAAATAATATCAACATAATATCGAGTTTTCTGACATTCTCCCGACGTCCGGAAATTGATAACACTTACATGCTTTACTTGAGCTCATTATCACAACATTTGCCTCAAGAATATCAACACGTACTCACGACAAAAACCTCTCGCGAGAGAATGGACCCTTGGATTCTGGAAACAATCATCTGTTCGACAGCTATCCAACAACCGCCGTGTATTCGAACATGCATCCATGATTGTCCGTGCAACAATGATTAGCACATCTACATAACTTGAAACAACTAGTAAAGTTTGCAAGCTTTGGTGATAGTTTGCTAAGTTCTTACTAAGTGCTCACTGATACAAATAGAGTTGCAGCGTGAGCTTGTCATTTGAATGTGACTATCTTTTTTCTGCTGAAGTTCCTCGTAGGCTAGCTTTGCTATTGCCCTTTGCTTCGCATTCGGTGACCTGTCCCCATTCTTACTGTTAAGCATAATCATAATCTATGAGCATCTAGATTTGACCACTGCTGACCATTCCTATAGATCATCTCTTATATGAGAGTTTGGGCCTAAGGCCTAATCGATGACATCCTTAAACGCTTAACGTCCGAGCACATCACGCTCAGCTTCTGGCCAACTCCGGCGAGGGAACTGCCGTAACTATAATTGCACTTCAGGCAAAACACGTATGAAGAAAATTCTTGACGCAGACGAAATCTACTGATATCTAGCCAACTTTCTGCAGACCAATATCGCTCCTCTCGTCTGGCCAACTCCACATCACATCCTGCTTAGCATCCATAGTCATCCTTCCTTGAAATTTTCGGGCACTTCTCATCCCCACTCTTTAACTCGCCGCCATCCTGATGACCATCCAACGTGTCAAACGAGAACGATGAGCTGCTCAGCATCCAGAAATCACGTACCGTATACTCGCAAGTCACCACGTTGCCCATCTTATCCACGTAGCTACCGGTCATCAGTCACTTGTCTTGATAAAGATATGAGTGTAACTTACCTGCACTCTGTGAACCCGTTTTCGGTCTTCACATAGCTAGTGACTAGTTCGTAGATCGCTATACCGTCGACATCCAACGATTGTGGACACGTTGCGCATCCAGCGTTGGCACCAGCGAGGAAGGTGAGCAGCATAAGGATAGTGATGCGGGAAGTGAACATCATGGAGTTTGCAGTGAGTAATGCAAAGCCATAGCGTGCAGGTATTTTTATAGACAGATACTCGCAATTTTCACTTCTCCTCGGGTTATTTCGCTTCTACTGATAAATTCAACTCAAAAGAAGTCGAGTTGAATGACATAGTAAGTCATTGATTCAAAGCCTGTTCTGAACAAGCTACATTTCAAAGATGCACTGCCACCGCGTAGCTCAGGATGGTGTTGGAAAATGCTCGTCTTAGTTTACATTTTACTAGTACGTGTAGTAGTACTGTTCGGAGGAGTCACTCATCAGAAAAAGACTCGTGGTTTTCGCTTGTCAGAAAGAATTTGATGCTGACGGTGAGCTTACGGTGTTGGTGATCTCGGAGCAACGCGATTGGCGGAACGGGCTTATCCCGTATGTACTAATAGTAGTAGGAACTTACTTGAACAAAAACAAAAACATACTGTGGGAAGAGACGTTACTGACTGTTATGAGTTATATTTTGACTCATATCGTACCATCGGTTACGGTCTGCGATTGAGCTCCATTTCGTGAGGCTCAACTCAGACAGTGTAGCGGGGTGTCTTCGGTGAATCCTTCTAGGGCAACGAAGCTTGAATTCCCAATCAAATAATTGTTCATCATGTCAGCATCGGAAGTCCGACATCGTAAGGCCATTCACGATGTCCAAACAGATAAATTCCAGAAGAGACTTACGACTCGGGGCGCTTTTCGTTAGTATCGTAATGTGATCAACAACTCCGGAGTCCGGTTATTTGGTCAACCAGTCACATCTTCAGCACTCGCCGATATCCAACGGCTTCGTTGATACTTGGTATGTATTTTCGATCGTGCAGACAGTTTTTAATGAACAGCGGCAGGTGAAAATCAGCAACAATGACTGGCGAGGAAGTTTAAAGGCAATGAGATGCTAGCCTAGTTAACGGCTAGACGAGTACTTCTAAAGGGTTACACTACCCGATGCCTGGGCCGTACTATGCACCAATTACTAGCGTGCTGGATATAAACTCGCATAGAGGATAACCTGAAAAGCAAATGCATTGAGTGAGTATAAGCCATTTAAATGTAGCATCACACCGCGAGCGGAATATGCAAATGAGGCAGACACTCGATTCAACGCAAAGGACCACGCTCCCTCTGGTTTTCAAGTTTTGAGCCTGTGATATTGTAGCATTGTCGTTTCCGCTAAATTGGTTGTAGATGATGCGTGCATACGACTACATGGGTTCATGTACGATGATTTTTTGGACCAAACCTGTTCCTAATCGACCTATCTCGTCCAGAACAGCCTGCCGATTTAACATGACAAGATCCTTGTCCTTCGCTTTATCCTCCTATCAAATGTTGGTTTAGATGCAGATAGTTCGATGGGATCGACATACCTTGGCTAATGGCTTGCTCGAAAAACCTGCTAGTGCACGGAAGGGACGGGGTGCTCCCAAACTCGGAAGCCAAATTGCTCCAATGCGATCACCTCCAAAGGAATCAGCAAAGAATTTTAGTGTATCTGCGTACGTGCTCTGGATAGGAAGAGCTGTTAAGAGAACCTTCCATTCATATGTGAGACACACCTGCAGATCGGCGAGAAACAGGGGAAGAGGATCAAATCCTGGGCGAGGCGTCGACTCCGTTATGCCCAAATGAGCGTCTCTAGTCCAAACACTCGATTCCGCATTGATGTTTTGGTGGTACCTTGGTAAAACTGTAGGGTTTAATTGGATAACAATATCGTAGTCATCGGTGGAATGTAAGAAGAGGCTCTAAAGGACGACGTCAGCTATGTCATCAAATGTAAGTCTGTCAATCAACCTTGATATCCAATTCCGTCTCTGCGTTACGAAGTGCTTTGCTGGCCTCCCTAGCAAATGCGCGAAGACGGTGGACAGCAATTGCATCCGGGCCATTTGACGTCCACATTTCAGGTGCCGTTGCCGAGGGATCATCCTCATACAATGTAAGACAAAGTGGCTCCTTCCAATCCCAATCTGTTAAGAATTCTAAGACGAGGGAGAAACCACGTTCTTTACTATGAGGTACAGCAGCAGCGCTCTCTGTCGATGTCTGCTTTCCACCAACAAATGGTAGTGCACAAATGATTTCAATAGCCTCCTCTGAGACGTGGGTTTGCAAAAGCCAATGTGCAGCAAGCCAGCGCTTGACAAGGCGGACGGTGCCGGAGTATGCGCTGTACTTGTGGCAAAGATTGACGATGGCACGATGGTGTCGTGGGGCATGGATAAATCGCCGCGTGTAAAGTTCCTGGGCGACCTTGGCTTCGCGTTGTTCCTGCGCGTTATATTTTTGGTCGCTGGGACTGACAAACATCTTGCCGGGGTCAATGATTCGATCAAGCAAAGTTGCCTCTCGATCGTGCCAAATGAACGCAGAGAATGACCAGCCTTCAGCAGTGAATATTTCTAGCGCAGCGTATCCTTGGAATGGATTTGAGCTACCGCCGGTAGCAATTGACGCCTTGAGTCCGGGGTTTGAAGACATAAGTGATTGGGCGATAGTTTCAAAGAAAGCGAGCTTGATTTTCTGAATCGCTTTTAAGTCATCCGGCCACTTGGATGATTTCTCGAATTCGAGGATGATGGGGATGGTGGGGAGAAAACGTAGGGACTCCGGTAATTCTGCTGAAATCGAGGCAGGGATTGGTAGTGGAGCAAATGTTGAGGTATACCGCAGGTATTCAGATATGGGGCTGACGTTCAGCAGTGCCAGTGGTAGCTGCTCGTCCAGTGCTTTCAGGCTCCTGACGACACCATCGAATGCTATTAATGCAGCCTTACACCCACCTGTAGCCCGATGTAGACGACGAACATCATCCGGCAATTGGAGTATGTTGTCGAATGGTGTCTGCAACGTTCTCGCATATTTAGCAGAAAGGCCAAAATGGAGTTGCAGCAAATGTCGGACGATAGAAACCGGTATATGTGCACGCTCATCGGACGTCGTAACCTCCCAAACCACACTCTCCGTAATACGACCGTCCTTGAATCGACGAAGCTCAGCACGACTGCCCCATAGATACCGGAACTCCTTTGCAACATTTGAGTCTTGGTCTTCCGCAGAAGGTCCATGGTCAACAAGACGGAAAGCATGGGCAGGATCATAGATAAGCCCGATGTGAATTATGGACGTGCTGGGGCTTTCTGCGGAGGACATGGGGCGGTAAGGGGTAACAGGTTGAAGGATGGCTATCGCTTGGGTGCGATTGCCAAGACCTCGGCGCAGGAGGGATGAAATAGAGGCCAGAAGGGCTGCATCAGAAGACCCATGTTCTATGACAGTTGAAGTAGACTGGTTTCGAGAAGCTTGCGACAAATTCACTCTGAAAACGGTTAAGCGTGGAATCCACAAAAAGAAAGAAAACACTTGCCTGATCACCGCATCAAAGCGAGAGGAGATTTTAAACCGACTTTTCAGGAAACAGTCAGCAAACGTGTCAGACGATGCGCCAGGGTTGCTCAATTGCTCTAGTGTCTCCTTAGCATCGTGACTTAGCTTGATGATTGACAGTCAGCGGTAAGTGTTTACAGATGCTGGCAGCGAAGCTTACCAAGTCAAGTGAGGTAAGAGGAACATCAGACAAAAAGTTGATAGTAGATGTTGCATCTACGAATATGGCTGGGTGGTGGGTAATGTACTCCTCTGGAGGGCACTAGAAAAAAACATCATGCGCAAGTTCCACGTCCGTATACAGAGACGTACCCTGTGTCCATTAGTCGTCTTTGTGAACACCGGAGTCTCCCCGAACTTGTGCTTTGCTAAACTCCCTATCAGCTTATATAATAAAAAGGGAGAATGAAGGGCTTACCAAGAAAATCAAGCGCAGCTTTGAACAATTGATAAGAGCTTAATCCCTTTCCAAGCGGCTTCCTCAATTTTGCGATCCCGCTCTTCGTGCCAACAAGTTCATCGCCCAAACTCAAATAGCGCAGTAGCCCGGCCCAAAACGAGCCTTTTCTCTCAAAGCCTCTCACACATAATTCACCATCGCCATAACCTCGCTGGTTAGCCCACACTCTTAAAAGGGTATAAGCATCATGAAAGGCTGGCAGTGCATTTTTGAGTTCATGAGTGGACATGAGCGCTTCTTTTGCACATGTGGAAAGAAGGATGGTGTTGTTGTAGATTGGAGTAGGAAAATTTGGTGGAGACGAGGACGAAGGTACGCGGACATTCGAATGTGAGGGGAAGAGCCTTGACGGTGATAACGGACTCGATGACGAAAGGACAGGGATAACATGAACTTCAGTATGACTTTTGGAAAAATCATAAGATGCACTCCCTTGAAAGGATGTCAGTTATATTTCTGTCATTGAATGAAGTATTATACCATTCCGTGACCTAAGAACCAACGTGGTGAGGCGAGGGTCTCCAAGCGCAGATGAGTAAAAGGTGTCCACGTCAAAAGCGGTTGAAATAGATTGGGCTAAAATAGCGAGGTAATAGGACTTCTTGTGGAAGAAGCGCCCATCGAGATAATCTTTCTCTTGAAAAAGAGCCTGCCATATATCGTTCAGTGGTAAGGAAGACGACTGAGCAAACAGCGCACCTCGGGCATCTCCATAGACAGGTCAACGCTAAACCGACTGCCAATCTGCTTTTTCACCGCGATTCCGTTTCCCCAACTTCCAACAACACAGATTTCCCTTGGAGGCTCGAATGCAACCTTCCACTTGACATCTGGAGCCGGGAGAGGGAACACAGATGGAACTGCGACACCTTGCTTAGCAAGGACTTTCATAGCTGCCAAAGGACTCAGAGGTGCAATAGAAGGAATAGAGATGCAGTGGGCGCGCAGAGCAAAAAGAAAGTGATCGAGCTGCTGTCGACCAGACTCTTTAGGTCGGACATTAGGAAGGAGTGCATCAATCTGAAAAAAGGTAAGCTCGATGAGTCGTCACTAAAATAATCTAGCCAAACCTGAAGCTTGAATGAACCAGACTGATAGAGATCAGCTGCATCCTTGATATCTCTTAATTCATGACCAGTCAGAGGTTCTATGGACATCACATATCAGACTGTGTTTGCTATGAAGTGAAACATACCTTCTCTGCCATGGCGATTGGTATTTTCGGAGTCGACTTGGTTCATCGCACCGGCATGTATTAGCGTGATCGTCACAGTAGAGACCTTGCAAGGCCAGCTTGCAGCTGCTTGTCAGTACGATCGCAATGAAAAAAGCTAGTATCACGTGACTATTTGAGGGGTTGGCAATGCAAAACAAGCAAGCTTGCCGCGTGCTCTCGTTCTTTCACTTTCTCTATGGACGGACTACAAGGCCCTCAAATTGAAGCATTACAACAGCTACAAAGTATCCTTGGTCCACATGACACGGAATTTGTAGTCAGTGTACTTGAAAGCGTCTCATGGGATGTTCAAGTAAGTATTGACTTATAATCTGCCATGTTTTGCGGTTGAACGCGGGTCCGCAGAAAGCCACAGACCTACTATTCGACAATGAAACTCCCAAAGTTGTAGCACCAACACGGGCCACTCCAATGGAACAGTTGGAGCTAGATGACAATGAAGACTCGTCACCCACAATCCGACATTCTCACCGTGGTCAGGGTGTAAGAACATTCAATTTTCTAGCTGTTTATGGACAACTGACACCCCTTGCAGAGCTCGCGGTCAAATTGGAGTTTCTTATGGTCTCTACTCGCTGTTCCATTGCACCTTGTGTCCGGAGTTTTGCGCTTCGTGTTTAATGTTCTCCGCATACCAATACCGTCCCTACCGTTCATGACTACAAATTCCTATCATTCTCACCGCCCTACCTCTCCTGATTCACGCAGCATTACTCAGAGGTGGGTGCAACAACTCGAGGAAGAAACAGGTGCATGTTCTGCAAAACGTTCCATGGCGAACGCGGTCACGACAGGATTCGAGGCAGGCCCATCAACTGCAAGACGTCATACATATCCACCTGCGGCTTCGGATGATAATCAGAAAAATTTACCCGACTTTTTTGATGGCACCTATGAAGAGGTTCTTGACATTTGTCAGAGAGAAGGGCGCATAGCATGCGTTGTCCTCGTGAGCGCTGAACACGATGATGATGCAGATTTTAAGAGGTACGTAATGTTCACCTGTACACGATGTACGATGTGTCATATTGTTCTCTGGGCACAGGTCTACCCTTACCGACGCAGCTTTCGTCAAGATCTTGCTGGATAATGATTTCATTGTCTGGGGTGGGGACATCCGGGACAAAGCTGCATGGGATGGTATGTTCCATTTAATTTATCTTCTACAATGATAAAGCCTTGTCCAGCCTCGCAGAAATTGCAAGCAACTACGTATCCCTTTGTGGCTTTCCTCGCGCTTCAGCCCAGGCGCCATGGCGCTCCTTCTGGTGCTTCCCCGGTTGTCACCACCCTATCACGTCACCAGGGTCGCGCAGCCACAACTGCTTCGGTATTGATCGACCATCTCAATACGCAGCTACTTCCACGTGTAACACCGTTCCTTGTACGATTCAAGACAATGTTACAGGACCGTGACCGTGACCGGCGTATACGTGAGGAGCAGGATCGCGCATTCAGGGAAACGGCTCGTAGAGATCGTGAGGCCATCGAGATGAGAGTGCGACAAGAGAAGGAGGAGGAGGAACGTGTACGACAGCATGCAGAGGACGTAAAAAGAAAGCAGGAAGATTCGGCGAGGCAGAAGCACCAAGCCGGAATACGTATGGAGTGGAGGAAGTTCATGCGTAAACGTCTCCTGTTACCCGAGGCGCGCGGCTTGAGACTGGCCGTCAAATTGCCCGGCAATGGACGAGTTATCCGCAGTTTTCCTCCGTCGGCGACCCTTACCGCTCTCTATGCCTTTGTTGACTCGCAACTTATTCCATCCACTTCTCGTCCAGAAGATGACCCTTCGCAAGCACCGGATGGAGTTGTCAATGATATCCCACAGCTTGATTCTTATATTCAGAGCAGGACGGCAGGACACGCGTGGTGGGGCTTTACACTTGCTTCAGCCTACCCCCGGAGGGAATTTAGGTGGAAGGCGAATGTGTCTTTGACAGAGACAGGATTGAGAGATGGAGAGCAAATTGTCATGGAGTTAATCACCGGACGTGAGTCCTCTAATGGTCAGATCTCTGACGACGAGTACGAGTCAGAAAGCGACTAGTTCCCTTGTCATAATGCATTTGTTGTTGTTATTTATGGATGGACATATGGAATAGATACAATGAGGTCCAGGCATTGATAGAGAACAAGGTGCTGTGATCATTGACTGAGTATCGTGCGCACAAATGATTCGTAATTCACGTTTCCGTCGCTGAATTGAGTAGTCAGCTATGTATGCCGGCAAATACTAGAGTTGGGTTGCTTACGGGCCGATCTGAACGCCCTTGAGCAATTCATCAACCTCCTCGTCTGACATCTTCTCGCCAAGTTGCGTCAGCACATATCTCAGTTCTCCAGCCCCAATAAAACCATTCCCTTCTTTATCAAATACCTGGAATCCCCGGATGAACTCCTCTGCATAACGATCAACGGATTGTGATGCTACAACGAACGATGTAAAACATACCAGGTGTTCCTGCAGGCTTGAAACCATCTGGTCTATTGAGGATCGTCAAAAATGTCTTGTAGTCAACTGCCCCAAAGTAAATTATCATAGCACCAATATCAATCAAAAGTAGCCAACTGACCTTCTCGTGGTGCATTCGCGATAATCTCGGTCACTTCAGCCTGGGTTGGGTTCTGTCCAAGGGCACGGAGGAGATCGCCCAATGTCTCCCGTGGCACAGCGCCTGTACCCTTCTTGTCGAAGAGCGCGAAGGCTTCCTTATACTCTGTTAAGCGATCAGTCCGCGATATACTAGCTAGATAGCACGGAACATCGGACCTGCATTATCACTCTGTAAGAATCTGTTAAAGTTGGCGCGTATAGATGTTTAAACGCGAAACTCACCATGGCTGCTCTGTCGATGCCATCAAACGTATTGGGTTCATCAGTACATGATACTTACATAATCATCCAAGTTATCTTGTCTTCTGGTGTCTGTGAACAACGCGATTTCATCGACACGGAAGACATGAAGACACTTTTATTTTCATTTGAGTTATGCCGAAAGCCTACTTCTTGAACTTCTAACAATCATATGTACATGCTGCCCTCACCAACCTCCGCAAGGTTCTGCCTCTTTTTTGACAAACCAAATCCACTCCCTGCAGGTGTACTTCTGAGTGCCCAAGTACCGGATCGTTTCGCGCCAACTACCCCAAACAACTTTTCGTCCACTTCCACCATCATTTCAACCGACCATGCTTGATCTTCTGACGGTCGTGAAAGTCTACTAGTTAATAGTTTGGATGGCGTGGTGCGAGGTACCCCTGGTGAGGGAAGGAGTAAAATCACTGCATTACTTTGATAGGACGAAGATAGGGTGCGTATGTTCATCGCAGACATAAATGCTGCCGATATCGACTGGAGAATATTTGGAGGCGCAAAATTTTGGAAGGGATCCTGGAAATAGTTCGGTCAGAAGATCACTTGATATGAATAGCATGCATACCAAGGATATGTTCCGTAGAGACAAATAGCGAACGGGCGCTTCATGCACAGGCAAGGGCTCTGATGAAATGTAGCTTTGTATGCGATACGTATCGAGGATGGAAATGCTGAACCGTTGAAACGGTCAGGTTTGTTCACAACCACAGATAGAGCACTCACGCGGATGGTTGGAGGCGATCCAGGATATCATTCACATACTTGTTCATGGACCATAACGGCAACGTCGTAGTAGCCTCGGACACCAGTACAACCGTACGGGTTGATGAGGGTTTAAAAAGAAATCCCACCTGTAACACGTGATCCTTGTCCGCTCATTGAAGAGCCTAGCACTAACCGGAATATTGTTGACGAATATTGCGCCCTGCTGTTCCCCTAGGTCTGCGCCATCAGCCCAAAAATTTCCTGCACGGCCTGATGCGATGACAAGGGGACAGCCAGTGGTGAATTGGCCTTCGATTTTTATTTTCACAATCGGAACCTGATCAGCTCGTTGGGTGGTTAGTGGGTTGTATTCATCCTCGTCATCGGACTCGATGGCGTAACGTGGCGGAAGGGCATCGGCCAAAGGATCAATTTCCTACAATCCAAATCAATTATGGATGCATCTTTGCTGAAGAAACTCACCATGTTTCAAGGTTACGGACAAGATATCGAATGCGTAGGATGACGCGTTCTGCTAAGAAGCGTGGTAGACTGGTAGTAGTCGAACAAGGTTTACGGGGTCCGACTAGCTATTATTATTAATAAGACGCGCGTCGGCTGAGTCCTTTATGCCATCTCAGTGCTCAAGCGCTCACACCTCATTGTTTACCAAATATGATTGTTATCTCAAATGATCCTACTTGGTGGCCGTCCATCAATTCGTATCGTCTTATAAGCTATTTTATAGGTTCGTGGAAAACTGCCGGATGTTGACGCTGCCGATGTCTCGATCTAACCTTGACTACGGTTTTCCAGTTGCTTCCTTTGTTCTAGTGATGTATGATTGGGGTGAGCATGATAACACCGAAGAATGTGTGGTTGCTTACAAATATTTCCAGCACTTACATTTGGACAGGAGGTATGTTGACGCTCGTATAACTGGAACAGCCATTTCGCTAAGAATGGTTTTATAGGTTGAACTGGTCTGGGTGAGTACAGTCTCACGTCAGAGGAATACACATAAAAATATACTTAATTCCAGAGGCAACGCTGGTCCCTAATGACAGTTCTGTATATCAGTGTGTGTAGCTTGCCTGTCACGGTTGTTATGTTGTGCTGACTTGAAAGTACCCTAGATGCGCTATCTTGGAATAATATCTACTGTGTATGTTTGGAAGGCTCATCACTGTTCGTGTACTAATGTATGATCTCACAATCAGCTTGTACATGATATGTATGTCTTCTTACGTTTGATACCTTTACTTCTCCTGACCGGCGGCATACAGGCGGTGTTCCGACGATCTCGGTGACAGATACAGTCAGTCTTCTGCACCAATTTCTACTATTTCTCTCAAATTAACCGCAGCACCATGTAGAAGTGAGTGTGATTCTCTACTAACTTGGTTCACTAATGACTGTCACTATAGATGTGAGTCTGCTTAGCGTGTGCGCTACAAGGCTGGTCGCTAACTAAATTTGTCAGGCTTTATTATGTACATCGTATGGGATTGGATGGGTTTTGTGGTATTTGCAATGCTGTGGGGTGAGCTTGGCATTTGCAAGGCCTCAGTGATATTGACTAGACTAAAACAAGTCATCATCATCACTCGGTTACATGCCATGTATCAAGGATCCAGGAAAATCCATATTTTTCTTACTGTCACTTTCCTAGCTGTCAATATTTTCAACGGAGTGGTCGGTGTACTGTTGATGATGCATTCTTCAGGGGGTACGCTTAATTTTGGACGACCAAAAATGTGCATTTTTATAATGATGAATACCAGATCAACTTATTCTCTCTGGCACCTATCAGTGCTCGACTAGCATTCCAGAAAATGCTATATTTCTGGATTCCATTTCTTGGGTACTCGCCACTGTGTGGGAAGTCCTCGCACTGTGTCTCGCAGCCTGGATTGCTGTAAAACACTTCCGTGAAGTGCGACGACATTCTGTAGGGGGGATTTTCGGGGACTGTTTCATGATGTTGATGAAAACTCACGTGGTTTACTTTGCGAGGTGAGTTCATGATTGTGAATATAGTTCCCTTGATCCGCTGAGGGATCGAAACTACTAGTTTTGCTGCTGCTGCTTGCCTCAACCTCATTATGCTTTTGTCTCCCACAATCTCAGTGGTATGCCAACTTCCCCTGACCTGTGCATGTGACCACGATTTATCATTACTATAGGACCAGTTTTCCCGGGAAACTGAGTTTTATTATGGCTTCCTTCAGATTTTGATGGTCATCCAGTCGTTTGTGCTGGGACCACGCCTTATCCTTAGCATTCGAGAATATCATGCTAAGCTCGTAGCCGACTGCGACGCAGCAACCTGCATGACCTCAATTGCTTTCCAGGAGCGCGTGCATATATCGACTAGCAATGGTGTGTAGCACGGGAGAATCGGGGAGATGCTCGATAGATCTAATGGTTATCTAGTACTCTGCCAGGAGCAGCAGGAAAGCTCGTTTTTATTGACTCCCATTTGTATTGATTTAAGTTATGTGGTGTTGCGAAGTGATTCTTGTAAAGGAGACATAGGTCTGGGCAATGTTTTCGTTGTAGTATTTATCTAAGTGAGTAGCTATAGGTCTTAATATATAATGAAGCTTGAAGCTTGGAACATCATGTATATATTGGCATTAGAATGACATGGCACAAGCACTCATTAAACGCAAAATGAAATAAAAAGACTTGGTTTGCCATCTAAATTCAGTGAACATATAACATGCCAGGAATAAGCGAGTCCGAGTCGGGGGCTGGCGCCGCGTGGCGTCAACTCGTGTCAGTGACATGAAGCGGAATCCGGATTGTCAGCCAATTCATAGATCATGTTCACCTTGAAATTGGTACGGCTCCGTGGTACAGCTCTGCGTACCTTCACGTCGACTGCAAGCCGAAGCCATGAAAATCCTTTGGTAAGTTGAAGAGCTTTCATGTCTGCGTGTCTGATGATGCGTCCTAGTAGGGCCTCCCATTTCGACCGCCCTCTACACCTCAAATGCCCCGACGCGGCGGGCTGATCCAAAAACGACATATTGAGCATGCAAAGAAGGTAATCGTTGTAGCAAGCGGAAAGGGGGGCGTGGGCAAGAGCACAATAGCAGGTACGTCCCAGCAGTAATCGAACGGAACCTTTGAATGACCACGAATGAAGTAAATCTTGCTTTTTCCCTTGCAATGCTGCCTCATCGACCGCGAGTCGGCATACTTGACTTGGACATTTTTGGGCCTTCTATACCTACATTGATGGGACTTCAGCATTCGGACGACCCACGTTTAACTTCTGGTTCGTTTTCTGGCACACACCGTAAGCTTTCGGGTGACTCTGTTACTAGCTGGTGCTCTCGTCCCCATAATCAATCATGGAATTCCTACCATGTCTATGGGTTACCTGGTCCCTCGGCCACCACCCGACTCTACGGAATTTGAAGGGGCAATTGTCTGGCGCGGCCTTATGGTTCAAAAAGCCGTCCAGCAACTCCTCTTCGATGTTGACTGGCGAGACGCTTGTGGATCTGGTCCTGGGCTGGACGTACTAATAATAGATATGCCCCCAGGGACGGGAGATGTTCCTCTTACACTGGGACAGTTAGTTGTCGTTGACGGTTCGCTTCCACGAGCTCTTCAGATGTTGTTCGTCATCTAAAATGAAATAGGCGCAGTCATCGTTTCAACTCCACAGGACGTCGCACTAACAGATGTGAGAAGAGGAATTTCTATGTTCAAAAAGATCTCAGTTCCGGTAAGCATTGTATATACTGTCTTTCGGCTTCACCCTAATTGTGTTCGTTGCCATCTGCAGATAACAGGCCTCATCCTTAACCAAGCATCATTCCTGTGTCCTTCTTGCAATACCGCACATGAGTTATTTGGAACTTCAACTAATGCATCGCGCCTTGGGATTCCTCTCCTAGCGCAACTCCCTCTTGTTGGGGGCGTGAGCCGTGGTGGAGACCGCGGCATTCCATACGTCCTTGAAGGAAAAAATGGGAGTGACAAGGATGGCAAGGCGGGAGAGATATGGCGAGATGCGATGAACGAAGCGGCAAGCAAAATGTGGGGGTTAGTTCATAGTTGAGTGGGTGCTACCATGCAAGGACCTTTACTTTGCCTCGGAAGCACGAAAACCGCACGAGTGGAGGCAACATATCGACCTGTTTCTACTACCTAGCTTCAGGGTGTGGAAGATAGACTCCGCTTGCCACACCTTCACTATCTGTCGCATTACATGGAAAGGCCATGCTCTATTGCATCTGCCGTGAATAATGATATAACTGCAATACAAAAAATGAGTCCGAGTGTGCAATTGCACAATATAAAACTGTAAATATGGACAGCACTGCACTAGTAGATTCATATCAACACGCTGAAAATCCTCCAAAGTCTAAAAATGCCTCTTCCAGTGACATTTTTCGAACAACAAGCGCCTCGACGATGAGCCGAGGTTCTGACAGTGCCGTCTCGATCTCAGAAGTAGGAGATTTGGACGGAGTCAGCGTGATCTCAGGTGGGGAGGCCAACTCGTTTGCAACGGGTTGGGGCTGACAATATGTTTCCGCAAAAATAGAAGAGGGTGACCCAGAGCATACTTCGATAATTTGAGCGTCTATTTTTGAGACAATATTAACCGCTGGAGTGTAGACAGTGGAATTGAGGCTACCTTCGAGGTGTGCACTGTCATGCACTGAGGACTCGATTTCGGGAGGCACGAATGCCACGCACAGGCCTTCAGGCTCAAGTGTGACATGAAAGGATTCTAGGCCTGAAACCAGCTCGCCCATTTCCTCAGTGTTAATGGTTGGATGAGGATCACGCTTGGCCTCACGTCGCTTGTCTCTGGCTGCACGGCGCTTGGATTGCTTGCTACCAGTCATTGAGTGGGCTTGCATTTCAGTTGAGTGTACAGGGTCTGTATCTGAGTTGTGAACATTGGAGTGGTGCAAATGATGTGTATGATGCTCGGAATGTGAACTAGGCTGGGCACGGGTGTGCACAAGCAAATGCTTAGGTTTCTTGCCCTTGCCTTTGCGCCTATCCGAGTGGCCTGGCATGGTGCTCGCAACACGGCGGCGGAATGGGCGAGGTTTATACACGGTCGCAATCTCGAGGTCCAGGGTAAGTGCCGCACAGTCTGATAACGAGTCAACTTCCTCATTTTCCATGCAAAACACTTCCACGTGGCTGCTTGTTGTTGAAAAATCATCGTCCGCATCGGTAGTCTCCAGTTCGGTCTCCGTAGTCGCTGTCGTCTCTGAGTCCTCATTTATCATTTGCCTCCGTCTCCTTCGCCTGCTTTCATCCCCGCCCCAGCTTTCGACAACTCCGCTCACCTCCGCTGGCACCTCAATCTCCTTCACCACTATAACGCTAGCACCAATCTCGCCAGCCATCTCTTCTAGGGTACCCAATGTTTCCTCCATCTCCCGCCTCTCCAGCCCTATGAGTACGCCAGAGTCGGCAACACCAAGCTCATAGTACGCCTGTCCACCGCCTTCTAGAAGGCGCCATTTGAGTTGTGTGACGAGGCGGGTAAAGCGAGAGGGGGAAGGAGAAAGGAGATGAAGTTTGTACTCTACATTACCCTGTGAGTGGTAAATACAAATGGGTATTAGCGCATGTAATAAACGGTAATAAAACGCACCTCTTCGTTTTCTGGAACTAGCTGCGGTATTCCTCGTCGAAGGATTTCATTATGTGTGGGTGTTGGAGGTACGGAAGTGAGTGTGTCCCATGGGGAGGGCACCCGTGGACTCTCCGAGTCAGATTCACCGAACATCTGGGACTCGGTGCGCCAGGAAAATAAACCTAGCTAATGTGTTTGCAGAAACAAAGATGCAATAAGTTGTTCAGTGTATTCGAGTGATCATCACTTTCTACTCGTCCTAGTCTGACGACTCATCCTACCAACTTGACTCGGAGGCAGAAATTAAATAAATTGAATGAAATTATGTAATTAGAGTCGCAAATTCAACTTGAAACCACCGCTAAAATAATAACCCTCCTCAATAACAGTTTATTTCGCCAGTTTATTTTTTTGAGTGAAATAAACTGGAATAAACCACCTGTGACTCCCACATAAGCCCACTAATAAGAGGTGATAGACCCAGGCCTCCACACCACCTATGCTGAGGGGGTTATAGTCTTTCCAGGCTAGGGTACGGTTGACAAATCACTGCAACTTTTCAACAGCTGTTTATAAACAGACCAAGGTCCTCAGACCATTTATACACAGGTGTTTTAAACAATTTTCAACCAATAGTTATTAACTAGTTGTTATCAACAGCATGAATGATGATTAGTGATGTGCAAGGCCCGGCTTGAAGCCCTGGGCTGGTCCAAGCCGGGCCCAAATAGGCCAGGCCTGGGCTTGGATTTAGAAAAGCCTAAGCCGGCGGCCCAAGCTGCGGCTTTGGTACATAGAGTATATGACACCTTGTCATGTCAGTGGTCACACCCCATAAGTATGTGTTTGGCATGTTCTCATTACTGACTCTTACTATGACATGATTCCTCTCAACTTCAACTACATACGCATGAAATGGCGACCAAAAGAGATCTGTTAATCTCGGATGGAACACAAGATCATTGTCTGCCTGGCCCTCAAGACATTACAAGGTCGACATGTTATGGAATTTTGGTTGGTCTGTGGTATGTGACCTTCCTTTCAGTGAGTTTTTTCATCCAACAGTCTTTCTGTGTTTTCTGATTAGTTGCGACTCCTCACTGTTTCTTGTGCAAAACTTGAACAGATAGATGTCCTATCACTAGAAATATGGCCGTAAACACGTCCTCAGCCTCTATAGAACCTACCTTACAACCAGATGGATCCACAAGTGGCAATTTCACCCTAGAAAACATCCTCGGAATGAACCACGAAGCAGTTGAACACCCACAACTCAAGGAAAAAGGTACAAATTTCTTGGCTTGACCGTGGTGGATCCGATACTTACTTCTGTACTCAGCAAGAAAACAATGTTGAGATGAATGACTCTGATGAAGAACTCAGCCATATATCAATCGAAGCATCCAAGGCGCCCATCTCTACCCAGTTACTAGGCGCCCAACCTACAATTGGATCCAAAGTCGGCGAGTGGTTCATCGACCATTCGAAATACATCCCTCTTCAACTCACATACGCTGGCAAGCGTGCAGAGCACTTGAGTGCTACTGATTGTCCATCTCCTCTCTCTCATTCTCATTCTCCTCCTTGTCTTCTTCCCTTCACCTGCTCTTGTCCATTGTCTGTATTTGTCTGAGCCACATCAGCAGTTGCTGACGTGTGCTGGGCATTTATGCATGGTGTTCGTGGTATTGGGAACAGCATGGTGGAGCTCGGACATTGGTTTGGGCCGTGGCTTGCATGGGCCTAAGCCCTGGCTTTGGGCCAGCTTGGGCTCATGGCTCAGGCTTGAAATCTGGTGAGCCTAAGCCCCCCCAGGCTAAGCTTAAGCCGGGGCTTTGAGCCCAAGCCAGGCCGGAACATCACTAATTAATAATGATTTTGCAGTGAAAAAATGTGAAAAATTAGAACAACCAGTCAACCACCCTCTTTTTTGATGCCAGCACATTGTTCTGGGCCACCTGAATGTTCTGTGAGCCAATCATAGAGATCAAATCATGCAGTAAAGGAGAGCCGAGTTGAATATCTTCATCCACCTGCAGAACATCATCATCTGATACCCCATCATCTCTGTGAGCATCTATGTGTAGTGATGTCCAGCCCAGCTTAGGCCCAGCTTCGAGGGGCTTAGGCTCACAAATATTCTGAGCCTAGGCTGTGAGCCCAAGCCAGCCCAAAGCCGGGGCTTGGGCCCAACCAGGCTGCAGCTTGGGGAAGCCAATGGATAGATCAAGACTATTGTGGCATTAGTGGTAGGCTAGTAGCAACACACAACAGCATAATTACAATGTGTCTAAATGTCAGGCGACCCTGTCATATTGATGCAACAAAGCATTGAGGTTGTAGGGTTAGTAGTGATGCATTCATCCTAAAATGCTAGGGCTGCTAATGTATAGTGCATTATGATGCATTACAGATGCATCACGTAGCATCACTGTGATGCATTACAGATGCATCTTCATGCATCAATGCATCGTTAATGCATCATTGGTGTTATGCATTCCTGATGCATTATGACATCACCTTAGCCTTACTAATCAAGGCGCTGCAGGTAAACCACTCCTTGATGCATCCCCGATACCTCATTGTACTATATATACTACCCTATTAGCACCCCGCTCTGTGATGCATTCCTGCCACCATTGATGTGCTACCAAATGTGCCATTGTACTATATATATCACATCCCGCCACTTCCAATGGGTACTGCTGCACGCATCCTGCCGCTTCCAATGGGTACTGCCGCATGCATCCCACCGCTTCTAATGGCCCGCTCCTTGATGCACCCCCGGCACCATTGATGCGATGTGATATTATATATCACCACCAGTATCATTAGCATCCTGCTGCTACCAATGAATGTATCACCCATTTACTATAGGCCATGTGCTAGTACTTAGTACAATGTCCTACCTGTATTAGTGATCATTGAACATATGGCATCATAATACAGAAACTCATTTGTTTTTTAAAACTTGCGCCGTCTGTGACATACTATCTAAATTCACTAAGTCCCTACGTGTCATAGTTCAAACAAACGTTCAACAGAGATCACGTGATCTCTCCACTCAAAATTTGCGAAGTCATTTGGGCTATGTCAAGATGATCTCATAAATCACAGCATTCAATACAAATTATCAAAAGATGCTATCAAGATGCTATTGTACGACGAGTCATTACGCAGTGCCCAGCCAATCATGCCTTGGTCCGCTTTTTCCTGAAATACATCAGCGTGAGGCAAAGTATGCAAAAACTAAATCAAACATACTTGGGAGCACTGGAAGCCTCACTTTGCGCAGGCCGCTGTAGAACAACTATACTGAGTGGGGCTATACAAAGATGGCTCCACACTGATATATTTGTGTTGTGGTCTTTGCACTGCCTAGTCTGCTATACTTGCCTGACAAGTGCGTTCGACCCAGGGGTCTGCGGTCTGGGAATAGTCTTGGGGGTAAGTGAGTGATGTGGAGTCAATAGTCCGAGCGCGGGAAACAATGTCCAAAGGTATAATTACGATGTCCGATGCAAAAGCGTCGGGTCCGATGTTTTCGGGGCTTCGGGTTATCGGGGTTCGGGTTTCGGGGTGTCGGAAACTAATAGTAACACTATAGCGAGCATCGGAAGAGCGAGCGGTGTGCGCAATAATAACAATGACTGATACGGATAATGAAAGAGCGATGATATTTCGCAATATCAACTAAGAACTACGGATATCGGGTTTGACCACTAAGCGTCGGGGAACTGCTCCCCTCTACTTGGATAATCAATAATGCTCGAGGTCAGTCCAATATATATGTAAGTACGTAGAAATGCGGAACCCGTAGGCGAAAGTAGCGGCGGAGTATTTCGGATCCGAAGTACATGTAAATAAACATGAGGCGCTGCGGACTATGGGAAAACATGTAATAGCGCTGGCTACGACGTGAGTAATGTGCGAAATAATGAACTACACACCTAGTGGGGCTAGCAAGACGGGACGGGACACGGATAGGACAAGTGCGCGGGAAAACATTGGGTCCGATGCGGCCTAAACGTCGGGTTGGCGGGTTAGCGTCGGATAACATCGGGAAGTGATTAGCATGTGACGGGTATTTGACGTGTACTGTAAAATAGCTTGATACGAGCCCAGCGCCAGCTCGTGTCCTACACCGCTTCAACAAGCAAGGTGCTTCAGCCTCCAATAAATTCTCCTTCCCAGCGAAGAACGAGACACTGTTAGTCCCAATAGCATCTGCAAGGTCATTGCATCTAGATTTGATTGGCACGCGCTTTCTGCGTACTTCAGTGTCCAAAGCGATATTCATGGTAGCGGCAGCCTCATCAGCCAATGCCTTAGCAGCAGGTGGCTGCTTTTTTTGGTCATGTGCTGGGCAGAGGGCTGAGTGGCCGTTTCAGTGGAGGGTATAGCCTGACCAGGCGATGGCTTAGTGACAGACAGCTTCTTGGAAGAGGATTTAGCCTGGCCAGGCGGCTGCTTGTTCTTGGTGGCACAAACAATGGGAGACGGCTGTGTTGCTGTTTCAGCAGAGGGTTTGGCTGCAGCCCGCCCAATCATCGACTTAGTATTAGGACACTTCTGGCTGTCTCCCTTTTGGGTACCCTTCTGGGCAACCCTTCTGCCAGTCGTCATGCGAGCCTTGCCGATGGAAGGGAGAGAAGTATTGTCCGTACTCAGGATCGGGTTGGGAGAAGGTAGAACAGGTTGCGAGTCCTCATTGGGTTCAGGAGAAGGCAGAGCAGGGAGTGAGTTGAGTAAGTCCTGCAGGCTGCTTCATTCAGCAGAGATGGGCGACAAGATGTCTGGCATGCAATACCCTCCTCGGGGAGTGCCTCCTTCTGCTCCATCACCAAAATTCCAGGCTGGATTGTTGTTGTTCATGTTCCAGGCCTGGTTGTTCCAATTTGCAGCCTGGAATCCCTGATCGAACGAAAACTCGGGGGTGACGGCGCCTGGCATGAACAAATTAGAAGGAGGGATGCCGAAATTGATGTAGTTACTCGTCTGTATTGGGAATGCGATTCCTTGAGAGTGAAGCGACACATCAGACTCAGTGAGGCAGGAATTTCCGGCGAGTAAAGCATGGCCGGTGCCCTGCGCGTCATATGTTGGTCCTTGTGTGCCGTACATTCGATCCTGTCCACCATACATGGCATGGGTGCCATACATGGGCTGAGGCTGCGTGTCATACATTGCCATGCCATAGTATGAGGCATCATTTGGTGTGCCATACTGAAATATTGAGAGTCAGATGCAAGCATTGATGCCAAGATGAAGAAGCACTTATGGAAGGTACACTGGCAGTCGTCTCCATCGATGCGTGCATCACAGATGATCCCCCAAGACTTGATGCATCAGGTGCACCTGATGCATCGCCTAATGATGCACCAGGGATGGGAAGAGTGACTGCTGATGCATCAGACCGATGCATCAGCCGCTCGTCTAAAGGTATATAAAGACTGGGCAACTCACCAGACTCCATGGATTGATTCGCCTCACCCTCATCCACATTTAGCTGAGATTCTTCCTTGACGTCTGTGGACTGCACATTGGGCTCGTCTTCTTCGCCTTCCTCGTCTTTGTCCCCATCCTCTTCACACTCCTCCCCATCCTCTTCACGCTCCTCAGACTCCTCCTCAGTAAAGCCTCCAATCTCACTGCTTTCGACCTTGTTCCTTGAATACGTGTCGGGCTTCCGCTTGTTGCCAGCTGCACGCACTTTTAGTGAGTGTTGCCACTATTAATGCAAGATAAGAAAACTTACGAAATATTTGTTCTGCGTACTGCTGGAAGGCTGCCAAGAAGTCGCTATCAGCCGTCTGGTATAGCTCGGCAAAGGAATCACCTTGAGGTGTTTCTGAAGGATGACACCTTCTCTGCATGAGTGGCAGTACAAGCTGACAAATCCTCGCAACTTACGACAATGTTGTCATGTCCCAGTCATTTCTGGGATCAGGACCAGCAAACATAAATGAGACCATGAAGCGAGTCTTCTGCTTGACAAGCTTTGCAAAGTGTTGACAAATGACAGGTAAGTCATCTATACCTCTGTGAAATTTGAATGGTGTTAGTATTGAATACACTGATAGAACTGAATTCACACGTACTGCATGATTGCCTCCACATCTAACTCTTCATCATTGTCATCATTGTCGCCGTCACCATCATCGTCAAGAATGTTCTTCCCACGCTTGGCATGCTTCTTGTGAGTGAGTTGTTCCTCATACTTTTCACGAATCTCTGCCTTGATCTCTTTGGTCTCATCTTCAAGTAACTCCTTCGAGAATTTTCGACCAAGGGCCATGCGCTTGCTGGATGTTGCCACGTTTCCGGCTTCTTGCTCAGCCATCACCAAAGGCTTGATACGTTCGTCATAATACATCTCTGAATAAATTTCGGCCTCTGACTTCGCACGTCTTTTTGGCTGCAGAGTATCGTCAAAGGCCGTCAGTTTCTTCTTTAGGCTGCGGTTCTTCTTAGATTTATTTACACGCCAGTGAAACCAAGTGTGTAGTTGCTGTTGTGGATAGGTACTGATTGTGAGAACGCAGCATAGGCAACACGTCAAAAAGCTTACTGTCTCACGTGCCTGCTCTGTGAGCTTGACAACCTGTTCCTGCTCGCAGGTAAGCTCAACATCCATGGGGATGTCAGGATAGATGACCGCGCGTTCTGGGAACTGCGCGAACCAGGCTATACGGCATGGAGCCCAGAAATGTGAGTAATCCCTTTCCTTTGCGTGGACCATATATGTCGCCAACCGATCTTGAAGCCAAACATACTGTTCATTGGTGGTCCACTTTGCTGCCGGCATCTGTAAAGTAGTACCATGTCAGTCTGCAGAGTAGTATGATGAAATGTCAGCATGTTGTACTGTTAATAATTCAATTAGGTCTCGTATCATGTAGCATGCTGAATGTATGAAGAAAAAAAATAGAAGCCTTATGTACCTCAGAACAACACACTCGCAATTTCACGTGCTGGTCAAACTTTTTCATCTGTTGCCTTGAGCACATTCCTCGAGAATCAAACGCAGAGACTTCATTTATAGAGCTAGGTATCCAACAAAGTTTAATTTGGCGGCTCTGGTACTTCTAAATATGCTACGCTTCTTTGTTGATATCTGCCTCGCTGTCCATATCGGCGAGCTCAACATGTGTGACATTCTTCCAACAACGGTTGAATGCTTCCTCAAACGGCTCCTCAAAATGCAAGACCATTTGGTGGTCATCTGCAGACACAGACATTATGGTAAGTGGTACAGCAGAGTTTGTCCGCTTGTGTTCGATCCAAGCTTTAATGCGCTACAGTCGAGTAGTCAGAGCTTGTATCATAATAATTTATAAAAATACTTACGAGTTTGCGCTGTTCTTCCGCCTGAAATAAGGAATGTTGCTGCTCAGTGGTGAGGACCTGGGACTCCAGAATGATCGGCCACAAGACCTGACACTCTGGCCACAAAGCAAAAAAAATGTTGAACAACGATGGCCAGAATTCCAAGAGGTCATCATATTGGTGGGCTAACGAGTACATGGCTCTCTGGTCCTCTAACCACTTCAGTTGCTCGCTTGACCATTCTGGTGCCGGCGGCTTGAGTGTTGCTGACTGCGAAATTTATACTAAGCCTGGACCGCTGGTAATAGAATCGCATACCTCAGTGTGAAACATTTGGCAGCCGTTCATTGAAACTCTCTCCTGCAGGTGTGTTTCGCTGACTGTAAACATTAGCCCTAGTCATTATATAGAAGAAATCGCACACCTCAGCAGATTTAAGTGCGTGTTTGCATGTACTGATAGTCTGAGATGAGACTGATATATGCTATTTTTGGACTCCACAGCGGAGTGCCAGATTGCCCTCAAAACATATATTGGCAAAAGTATGTCAAACAGGACAGAATGCACTCACTGGTGTGATACATATGTAGGATAGAGATATATACATGATGTACTAGCTGGTCTTTATAATGGCAAGGAAATATGCACTTCGGATGTTGAGGGATAACTTTGTGAATTTGTTTAATATGAGTCTTGCTACTAGTGTAGTAGCAATGATTAATTGGTGTCAATGTTGTGTAGTAGATCAAGGTGTCGCAACAAAAATATGTTCACTAGACATTCCCTCAGGTCAATATAACAGTCACACATTTACCAAATGATGCCTACGGTACTCATACATACGCTGCGCTATATTTTATCTCACAATCAGTCGTCTGTAGGTTACGGAGACATGTTATGTTATAAATCTTGTGGAAATTTCTCCAAAATATGTTCGCTAGACATTTTCTTACTTTAATATAGCACTCATACACTTAACAAATGATGCCTACAGTACTCATACATATGCTGCACTATATTTTATTTCACAATCGGTCATCTGTAGGTTACAGAGACATGTTATATTATAATTCTCGTGTAAATTACCCTACCACACGAACTCCCAGCTCACTGTGATCTTCGATTTGTTACATAACCTCCCACACTTACTTTGTAACCACACTATGACTCGCCCTCGATTGCACTGGACTCTTGAAGAGAAAATGGAGGCAGCAAGATGATCCTAAAAAAAATATTACGATCGGTGAGTTGTATACACAGCAATGCAGATTCTAATACTAATTATAAAGTTTAGGAATCGCGCTATTATCAGTTTGAAGGACAAAGCAAGGTATCGACTCTGAGCACAACAGGACTCTCAGAAAACTCCTACTAAAGGACGTGTTAAATTATGCGCGGGCAGGCGGTGAGTCTATCCGACCCAGAGCATTTTGTTACCTCAAACTAACTGTTACGACTAGGATAGGTCGAGCTCTCCTTAGGCAGAATGCCTAATCAGATAGCGGGCTCGCTATGGGAAAGACGGGAGTCTTCTCTCGAATGAGAGGTTCAGGGGTTCCACTAAAGGTAGCGTCGGCTTTCCTTTAGGTGTGGCTTAGACTGAGTGATTGGGATGATCACACAGAGGAAGTTCTGATGAAAACCTAGTAGAATCAAGTAGGGAATATACATGATTCTGTCTGCTCTATATACTGTCGTCTGTGTGCACAGACCAATACTTCGTATGGTAAGTAAGTATGAGTGTGTCTATACAAGGGCATCTTATCTGATGCCATGCGGGCGATTATCTATACATGAGGCTTACCATGCCTCTTCTATCCGTCCTCAAGGCGAAGCATGCTCTTGAGTCTAACTGCGCATGCTGCGGCATGCGGCTTCTCTTCTGACCATGAAGCAGAGCTTCTCCATGATCCGGGTCGAGGACCATCTAGGACCATCTAGATGTAGCCTAGGCTGGTCTAGGTCATCTAACGGCATCCAGGCCGTTCTAGGTGTCTCTACGAGTCTCCGTTGAGTCGGTAAGTCCTTCCAAGATGGTGTATAGGCAGGATAGGGGCTAGGGTCATGATGACCTCCGTAGGAGGGGTTCTCGGTTACATGTTATTGTAACACTAACTACTTATTTTACAAGTGGGACTCTAGCAAATGTAGATGCTACACTCAACCGCCTCACGAATGGCTCCTTGACTGAGCTTTTCGACAAGTTAGTCCACGATCTCAAAGGGAGCACAGACATTGAGTCTTGCATCCAGGCTATCATGACTTTGCTGGTAAATGTGGAGGAACTCCGACAACAGGTTCAGGAATGCCATTGCGCAACTTTGCAACACCTTGGTGTTGGGAAGGAGCTGCGTCGGGTCGAGCTTACTGCTGGAAGGGTAGCCAATGTCACCAAAGCGCTGGAGGATGTTCTCATGCACGCCATGGATGATATACATTCCCTCTTTTACCATCATGCGCGAGGTGAGCTGCTTTATCAGAAGACTGCTGATTTTGCTGTGTTGTAGAGTCTATTATCTGTCTCATTGTAGATTACACATTCCTCCTTCAGACATGCTAGCGCTTCACTTTCCCCCTTGACTTAGACATATTCCTTCAAGCTCGCGTGCCAGATAACCTTACCTATGACAAAGTTGGCTTGGATCTTCGCAAATTCTTCATATCAAGTAAATTTGTATTGTGTGGCCGCATCTTCGTACCCTTCCATGCTAAGGAAGGGAATGTGTAAGACGAACCTTAGCGAGGGCAACAGTCACAGACTGACACTCTACCAGTTTGTGAATTGGCATAATCCTCTGAGGTTGAATTCGATGCAGGTGACTACATTTTTGTCCGCATTATGCAGCTCTGACGTGCTGCTTTATCAGAAGACCACTGATTTGACGTATTCCGCGCCTCACACATTATCTACATTTAGCACATTGACTTAGACATATTCCGCGCCTCACGCGTTATCTACATTTAGCATGGAGTAATTGCCGTGAGAAGTCAACAGATCCTCATTGTATTGTACGGATCCTCACAACAAATATTGTATTCGAAATATGTGAATCAAGAGTCGCCCATCTTCCCTCCAAGGAAGCCATACTGCTTCTCCTAGGTCTATGGCATCCATGATATGCAAAATCCCATCATCCAAGGACCACGCGCGACTGTACGAAGATGTTTTCACACCAATCACATGGGGAGAAGTGCGCGGCCTGTGAGTCAACATCAGATACTGGAATTAGAGTGAGGAAAAAATGGCACCATGTATCAAAAACGCCAACACGGCGACCTCGGGTTATGAGGTAGAATGGTCCATTTGCGTCAGCATGCGGGACATCAAAGGGAAAGCCATTGTATTGCTGCTGACACCTTTCCTCCCCGTTGACAGTTATTGTGGTTGTTGGGAGGATGGGTAAAGATGGTACCGGGAGGGACACAGGAGAATGTATGGCAGGTGGAAGAGTCTGCACAACAAGGGGAGACTTAGTCCGCGCAGTGGGAACTGGAGTCTGCGAAGTGGGAGCTGGAGTCTGCGAGTTGAGAACCAGAGTCTGTACAATGGGAGAGGCCGTGAGATGAATCTGGGTAGTGGGGTGAGGAGCAGGGCACTGAGGAGTCACCATAGTGGAAGGTGACTGTAGCTTGGTACTGTCAACCACAACTCGAATGAGATTGTGAGCATCGTCCGGGGAGAGCATCAACGAGGATAAAAGCTGTATTACAGCATCTGCCAATAATGAGTGAGAATCAATGATCAATGACAAAACAATGTACCAAGGATAATTTGACCTTCACGGTCCAGACGGTTGTGGTTCACCATGAAAATCAGTAAGGACAAAGAAGAGATGAATGAACTCACGAGTCTCCAACTTAGATGACATTTTATGCACGAGCCGTTGGATGCATTGATGATATGGGTTGAAACATTGACCATTAGCAAGAAGGAATATAATTATTAGGTAAAGTGCTGTTTGATGGTGTGGGGTTATTATTACATAAGCTACTTTCACAACTGTATGCATACATGGTAGACGAATTTCCTGCAGCATCGTTTACCAAATCTAACAGCCGTTCACGAATGGCAAAGGTACTGCCACTGTCATCCAAGAATCTAGGTAAGTGGAAGATCAATCTCAGCATCATTTACTAATGATTTTACAGCTGATGAGTTTGTTGCTGGGTGGTACCTTGTGCGTTTCGCGAGCATGCCAAGCATCTCTGCTAGTGCTGCTTTGCCCTCTGCGGGGGCAACATCATCCCAGGTGATTCATTGCACCGAAGAACTCTCACAAACTTTACATGCCTTGCGGCCGAGCAAGAAGCGGAAGAAGAATCCCAAGCTGAATTCCTACTTGTGCACTTCCAAGCCGTCAGGGATTCAGAAACGTCAGCATACTCAGTATCAAGTTCGCGGGGATGGATCTATTAGCTACACGCGATCATATCTCGAGCCTCCTAAGAACACCCAGCCAACAACCCAGCCTAAGTCGACAACATCATCCCTTATGCCCGATCAATTCAACAATGCTGATGGGTCATGGGATGTCAATACCATGCCGTTAGACGATGAACCTGTAAGAAGATGTCGCACAGCAGGAGTAAGTTTTATATCCAGATCATGTGTTCTCATCGCTCAAAGTGTGTAGGACCATCCATTACTTATGTGGTTAAAGGATCACCCTCTGTTTCTTGAAAAGATATTGCGTCTCGAAGGCAAGGGCAACCTCAGGAATGCACCGTGTTCTAGGTGTGGGGATCTTTCCCCCAAGTATCGATGCGAAGACTGTTTTGGCGTCAATCTCCACTGTTCATCTTGTATCAAGGCTGCACACCAACTCCATCCACTCCATAGATTGCAGGTCAGTTGTCCTTTTGGATAATATGAGATGATCTGACCGAGCTCTGCAGAAATGGAATGGAAAGTACTTCGAACGTGTCACCCTGAAAGCCCTTGGGCTCCGAATACAATTGGGCCATGCACCTGGTCAGGCGTGCCCCAATCCCCGTCGCGCCTTCAACAATGATTTTTTTGTCATGGATTCCCATGGTATCCATGAGGTATCACTCGACTTCTGCGATTGTACAGATGCAGTCGCACACGTACAGCAACTTCTTCGCATTTCTTGGTTTCCTTCCACGACGGCCGACCCTAAAACAGCAGCAACATTTCATCTCCTGGAGGAATTTCATATATTGTCTTTTGAGTCGAAGGTCTCAGCTTACGAATTCTACAATGCTCTTGCACGGAGAACCGACAACACCGGTCTGGCCCCTGCTAAGGTTAGTAAGCATGTTGATCAGTGCAGTCCCAACGAAGCTAATGTGATCACTCAGACTCGATATGAGTCTTTCATGCGAATGATACGTGAATGGCGACATTTAACTATGCTTAAGCGTTCTGGCAGAGGGCACGACCCTAAAGGCGTGGATGCTACAGGAGAAGGAGAATGTGCCGTGTTGTGTCCTGCTTGTCTGCATCCTGGTAAAAATTTACCGGACAATTGGGAGAATGCTCCTCGGGCGAAACAGTAAGTCAGAGGCTCTATCATATCGGTGGATACCTAACATTTTGTTTAGTTGGATGTATGCATTGTTTGTTGCCATTGACGCCAACTTCTATCTCAAGCGGAAAGTTGTCTCCAACAATATCACAGACCCCAGTTTAAGTCGCGGCTGGACTTATTTTGTAGAGGAGGCAGGGTACAAGGAATTCCTCGCAGAGAAATTTGACATCGTTCAAGAGGTAAGTCGCTGGTCTGCTGTACTGTACTGGTCACCTGCTAATTGTGTTTAGAAATCTACTTGTTCAAGTCATAATGCAGTCAACATGGCAGACACGAAGACCAACCGGGGCCTGGCTGCTACTGGTCTGGGCACCATCAACTGCGCATGTCACAATATGAAATGGCCAAACGCAGTCGGAGACCTGCAAAAGGGTGAAAAGTAAGTATTAACGAATTTCGGGATATGCATTGACTGATGGCCAATAGATATATAAATATGGACTACTTATTCTTTTCGACCCTTTGCCATTCGTCCCTGCAAACTCTCAACATCTCGTATGATATTGCCTGCCAATGGCATAAAAAGCTATGGCAGCATATGAGCGCGTTCCCTACTTCAATGCAGTTCGATCACACTTCCAAGGTCATCTCTTTCTTTGTGCCAAAGTTTCACCTACCTGTGCATGTTGAGAAATGCCAGACTACGTTTTCATTCAACTTCAAACGAGGTGTTGGTCGCACAGATGGCGAAGCACCAGAACATGGGTGGGCCAACATCAACCCCGTTGCATCCAGCACGAAGGAGATGAGACCCGGTGCAAGGTGGGATACCTTAGATGATTTCTTTGGTGACTGGAATTGGAAAAAAGTTGTCAGTCTTGGTTCGTACGTCCCTCGTGTTGGGGGGTTGGTCTCATTTGTTCGCTTAGGTACTACTATGCAGCGCAAGCTTAAAGAGGCTGTGCCTCAATGCGCGTATCATCAAGCAGCCCTTAACGACCTTGAAGAAGGCCTCCAAGAGGAGTACAGGAGGTTCTAGAGCAATGGAGATTGCAGGTGGAGGCATGGGAGAATGATCAAAGTCAGCTTAATCCCTTCGAGTGAAATGCAGATGGTATGTGACCGTATCACCATTATGAAGTACTGACACATTGCTTTTCATTTCAGTAATTACACTAGCATCTGTTCGGCTAGCGCTGGCCAAAGAAGAAGAACAAAGCATACAGAGCGGGGCCCGTATCTCACTTCACGAGGATTGCTCCCCTAGTATATTGATTAGTTCGGGGCTGGAACTTGAGGAGCAACAGTACATCTTTTCGTATATTTTTGCTTGCATGGTGACTCACACTCTCTCCCAGATGGCGCTTGAGAGCCGACAAGGATGGTCGTGGTTTACATGTCACAGACAATCAAGAAGGTAAATTAGTTGAGCGTAGTAATGCATTACAGCGTCGGCTCAATTCCTGGGTAAAGATGCAAGAGCTCTATATGCCCAACATGGCGGCCATGCAGATCTCGGACAATGCAACCGCCACAAAAGCTTCCTCCATCTCTTCAACTGCTGAAGGCTTCAAGTTGTGGCTGCCCTTGCAGATTGGGAGGTCTTTACCTTGCGATGAATCCCTGCAGAGGGTAGAATGGAGACTTCGATACGCTCAAGGCCATGATGCACTCCACTCTTTGCGCTCCTGCCTTCGTGCACAGACAGCCATTCTCAAATATAAAGACCGAAACCTTCGAGGACAAGGGGCAAATACTAGAGCTCGCAACACGCTCCAGGCGATTGACACGAGGATCGAAGCCGCTACTAGGAAATATGAAAGTGCGCATAAGGCACTGGTGGTTCTAGGCAGTCTGTTGAATGAGTCCGGCTGGCAATCTTCGCTGCATCCCTTAAACCACCAAGACATACACTTGATGTCTGACATTCTCTGGGGAGAATCAGAAGGCAGACGAAAGCTCTCGTGGATCTGGAACATGTGGGGTGCTGGTGGAAGCGAAAAAGACGACAATGGAGCTTTAGAAGGTGAGTATTGTCCATAAATGAGTTCTCTTCCTAACAATGCTACATACAGACATGAGGATTGAATGGTGCAAGGCAAGAGCTCGCGCAATGCGATGGGAGGAGGAAGTAGCACTCCTTCAAGAGGAAATGTGTCGCATAGGAGCATTTCTGAGGTGGGAAGCGGGGCGCTGGGACGAAAGGCACAATGAGGTTGTACCGACTGACGCAGAGCATGAGGACGGGTGCATAGCTTATGCACATCGTCAGGCACACTTGCGCACGCAACTGGCAACCTCATTTGAGGCACATTGGGCACAGACACTGTCTCATCTGAACGCGCAGGATGGGTCCGAAGAATGTATTGTGGATATAGCCAGTAGCTAGTAGTAGCTCTACCTATATATATCATTGACATATGGTACTAAGGGCGGGATGCATCAAACAAACAGTGGGAACGTCGGGGGACACATCAAACAAACAGCAGGAGCATGCATCAGCTACGAGGAGTCATGCATCAGAGAACACCGAGGGATGCATCAGAACAATGGTGGGAGCTTGCAGGATGCATCAAACAAACAGCGGGAGCATGCATCAGCTACGAGGAGTCATGCATCAGAAAATATCACGGGATGCATCAAAACAACAGCAGGAGTGTGCATCAGCGCTCAGCTGCGAGGAGTCATGCATCAGAGAATGGCAAGGGATGCATCAGAACAATGGCAGGAGCTTGCATCAGTGTTATGCATCAAATAATGCAACTAAGTACTAGAGGGATGAGTGATGCATAAGTGGGACAGGTGGTGCATCAGCTCACTAGGGAGACGAGTGATGCATTAGGGAGGAGTAATGCATCAGCTATGCAAGTATTGCTACTATGTGGGGGCACTACAGCTGTAGGATGAATGCATCACAGATGCCCTACAATTAGAGCAAGTAATGCATAAATATGATACGAACCTGTGTAAATGTCCGTCTCAACATCTGACACGTCCTCAGTATCATCACCCAAAAGTAAAATGTCCCAACTAGTGCTGCTGCAGTCCAGTTCCAAACTGTGGTTTGAACCTGACCAATGGTTACACCTGAGACACAATAGGAAAAGTTCGGTCAGCAGATGTGGTGCATATCGGGAGAGAAACTTAGCATATATTGAACCATTTAGCTATTGTGCGGATAATGAACAGTGTCAAAATGAAAGCATAAATATGAATAAGGATCAAATTGTATCAGTCAAATTTATAGTGGGTAGGCCAAAGATAGGGAGAATGTGGTCCTGTTATAGGTGGACTTAATATCCAAAATTTGATTACAAATAAGAAAACATGTCCAATCCTGCAATTATTTACAAATATTTCCGATGATATTTCTGAGGAAAGATATGGGATCAAATCACACTCCAGACCTAGGGTTTGCATCGGTAATATGCCTGAAGACAAATTTATAGAATTACCATCATTCACTAATGTAGCAGATTCATTGACAAATTGTAAATATTTTCAAAGATATGTATGAATGGCCCCCTGAGCAGCCCTCTCTGATCAATTTCCAGCCACTTTCATATTGATAGACCAGATTTGATTTTGTGTATACCACTATACTATGCAACTAGTGACTGTATACAAGTTTGCGTGGCAATTAGTACTACCTCTGCATTGCAGGCTTGATTCACTTACTGAAACATCTACTGCCGCGAGCAGACAAGGACATCCACTTTCCAAGGGTCTCTGAGTAACAGAGCCTGAGAGAGCCAAAGATAACAGCTCGGTGGCTTGTGCTACACCACTAGATGTCATAGGAGCAGGCATGGCAGCAAGTTTCAAGAGCACTACAATTGTGTCAGGCAGAGCATTGGATAGGTGGCCATTTTTGGGTACTTTGCATGCCCAAATAATCTTAGCAAGCGGGACCCTTTTGTTTGTCCAGCATCAGGAAAACATGGGTGCACTTTTATCCCTTAATTTCCTTAACAAATTTACTAAGGTGGCTAATGATAATAAGGACTATTAAGGAGTGATTTTGAACTTAATTATATTTATTCTAAGGCATGTGGTGGCTGCAAGTCAGCCTAAGGTGAATCAAGGTGAATTAAGGAAACATCAGTCAATTAAGTAGACCATGTGAACTTTTTCAAAAAAAAATCAAAGTTGTAACCCTTGTCAAGGGTAGTCTATCCATAGTCTCATGACATTTTTTGGTTAAGATCTTAGTGAGTTGTAAGCAAAATACTAGAAAGTGGTGTGTTCAAGAAAGTTCAGGCACACACTCATATTTTATTCTAAGTCCAATGGATATGGTATATATATCAATTGCTGCCTATATATGTACAAGGTAATGTAGTCTACTGGTAAAGCTGCTTGTCAGTTTGAGAATTGATCATGTGATCTCAGCTGGCCCAGCTGGATGGTTGAGAGTTCAAACCTTGTCTGTGGTAGAAAATAAAGTGCACTTTTTGACATCCCTTTGACTGCCTTATCAGCTGTCTTAAATGTGCCACTGGCCTTATTTTAAGGAAAATAACCTACTGAATCTCCTTATTTTCAGTAATGAAAATTTCAAGTTTAAGTTGCGCATAAGACAAATAAGTCGCTTTAAGGATGATTTAAGTCAATTTAAGTGGACCTAGGTTTTCCTGATGAGCTCCACAACTAAACAAAAGTGGTGAAGGAGAACAAAATCAAATCTGATCATCAATATGAAAGTAGCTGTCACCCATGGTGAACTCTCAAACCCAAAGCAACCCATCACAGGAAACAACCAATTTGCACTGATTTGAGCCCATATGAGTTACATGACCATCATTGGATTCAAGAAGGTGGAAGAAGTTGAGGAAGTGGCCTTCGGTTTTTGGCCAGAGGTAACTAACACCCCTGATGCATGGCCGTTCACCCCACCTATTCTATCTGAAAAGCTACAAGGTCACCAAAGAGGCTAAAAGTTAACATAGAAGTAAGCATGGATGAATTTTCCATTACACGGTCTAGGGTCCAGGAATAGCATTAGGGAGTTAGGGATTATTGCAAAAATCTGATATGAGTAGGGTAGAATGTATAGTGATACAATCAGCAATAGGATGAATGCAAACAGACTATAACACGAAGCTATAACATAAAGCTATCATTACAAGTATCCACTGGCATCTTTCTCAGTTGATGTCTATCTGATCAGAGTGAGCGTTGACTTGCATCGCCTCTCCGTTCTCCATATTTTACGACTGAGTTTGCTTTCACATAGTATGTTTAGAGGCTATTAGCAATCAGTAGTGATTGTGGTATAAATAACAAGTAACACATTACCTAATTATTATCTACATCAGAATCAGTAGCCCCTTGGTTCTTGGACATATAAGTGCAAGCATAGTGGGCCAATAATAGGGCTTTGATTCAAAATAATGAAAAGCAACCAAGAACTGAACTAGATAAAGACTATAGAGTCTTAGGTGAATATAGAAGATGATTATGCATACAGGAAAAATGCAAATATAATCTAAGAAAATGTCAAACTATACTGACATAATACAGCCATCCTGTAAGGCTTAGAAAAGATGTTTAATATCTTCATGTTCAAAGATATCATGCAGGTGAAATCTAAGGAGGGAGGGTTAAACCTCAGCTTAAACTTCAACCAGGACTGTGATATAACACGTTAATTAACACTGTGGATGAAAGAAATATTTGCCAGAATGGACAACAATATTGAATACCACTAAGCAAAAAATGAAAGTTTTGTACATAATGGCTGGTGATGCTATAGGGCTCTTCTTCAATACAGCCAGCTCTCTGCTGTCTGTGATTTTGATAACCACCTTACTGGTCATCCTATTATAATTCCACCTAAATACCTATCTTCATCAGATGTTTATTAGTGAAAATATGCCATACCACATATCACTGATTTCTCCAAACATTTTCAGCATAATTTCATTCCAATTTCAATAAGCCCACACAGTCTGTAGTTGTTTCAATCTGATGTTAATATCTAGAACTATGTTTGTTCCTTGTTAGATATAATATAAGATGTATGCATATCAATTAAGTCTACCAAAAATTCATTCTCCAGACAAGACCCACCTTCATATGAATTCCACTTGCTGGGTAACTAGCTCTGAATCTTAGAGGAGCAGCAGACATGAACATATTAGATCACTTTAATGAATTAGCTTTGAGCTCCCACATTTAATGATATTAGAGCTAGTCTGGAAAATTGTTATTGGCTAATATTTAGCAAACTTGTGTTGGCTAAATGGGGGCAGAGCTTGAAATTGCCACCTGCTTGTTAGTGACTAGGAGGTATTGATAGTATATTTCCTCCTTATGGATTAAATTCCACCACTATATCATCAATACCTAGCTGCACTCATCATAAATCCTCGACCAAAGGTTCAAGACCAACTACTAAATGCTATTAGAGTACTCAATGACAATGACAGCCATATCTATGTTATACCTAGGGCTGTCTAGTGTCCTTATAGGCTGGGAAGGTTCAGTAACAGATGTGTGTATCTATAAGGATACCTACTCCCTCAACTTTCGTTCTTCCTGTAGGAAATATTTCTGTATAATTACCTTGCCAAATATGATTATGCAAACACCAGGTAAGTTCTTGTTAGTTATATGATTATTCACATCTACAGTACACATTTCTATGTCTTTTGTGTGTCTAATTGTGTTATCATACTTATAGTATCATTTCTTGTACTTTGCTTACTATTTACATGACTTCCTAAACTCCCTAGGATGAGTTATTACTTACCTTTTGATTGTGGCTTGTCTGTTTATATTTGTTTACTATACATCACCCATATTCTAGAGTCCAGTACTCCCTACCTCTTTGGTAACTTACTCTGGACTCTAGGTACTGTACAACTTCACAACATCATTCAATGGATTGGCAACTTACTTTGGACTCTAGTCTGATCTTTTCTGATCTCTCAGTAGTTTCTAGAAGCAGCCCACTTTACTCATATCTTAACTCAATCTTCTGACTGTTCTAGAGCTTCCTGAACCAGTACAAATTGAACTCTTTAAGCATCAAGCTGCCGCTGCAATTGGATGCTGTCTCTTATCTCCAACTTATACTAACACTCAGTTACAATAAGATTACTAATAGATTGAATCATACCTTTTGCATTCTTATATTCTCAGTGATACACTATTTATTAAATGTCCAAGTCACCTAATAGGCCACTATTACTGGATTAACATAAATTTTCTTCCTAAGCTCAAGAAGGCCACAGAATCCTCTTTTCCCAACTTCTTTATTGCTTGATACCAAGCCATCAAACCCTAGTATGATCTCCTCCAAGATGAATGTATACCAGTAGCAATTATATTTGAGTGAATCATACTAGGACAAGAAGTTGTGAATAATATCTAATAGGATGGAAA